TTAATATGAGGTTTAAATTTGATGATTTATATATTTGTATCGTGTAAAATATTAAAATTTATATATTTATATCATATTCTATACAAAAATTATATGTTACAATTCGTGTTGATATGAAAATATAAAATATAATTTTTTTTGTTTAGTTAAACTCATATATAATTATTACTAAAATTTTAAATTATATATTTTTTATTTTATTTTTATATCATATTCATGTCATATCATTGTATCATATTTTAGATTGATAGATTTAATTAGACTTCTAATTTTACCATAAAAGCATCAAAAATGTTTTGGAAGACTCTAGTGGTTATGATTTTCCATGCGAGTCATGATGATAATATTGCAAGCATGCTCAATGATTCAAAATTTCTCAATTAATCAATAGGAAACGCATCAATTAACCTTTTTTTTTCCTTCTTATAACAATTCAACCTTAATATTTCTCTATCCAACATCGAATCTTTCATCACTTGAGTTAAGCTTATAACAAACAAGATTATTACAACTCCAAATAAATAGGGATTGAAGTTCCTGTCATTAGGACCGAGCAAACTTTGCTTAAAACCAAAAAAAATTGAAAAGAAATCAAATTTTAAAGGAGAATTGGGTTAGGTAATTCAGATTATATATGAATATTTTAATTATTATTTCGGTTTAAATGGTTAAAACAATCGACTTTTAGTTTTAAAAATATTTAAATTAAATTAATTAAAATACTTAATTTAATATAAAATAAATAATTAAAAATGATATAGAGAGATCTAATAATATGATATAAATATACTTAATAAAGAAAACAAAAATTAAAAGTGACTAACTTAAGAAAATTAATCAAAGTTGATTATTTTAATTCAATTTAATTTTTTATATATATATATAGATTGATTTAATTTTTATAATTAATTAAATTAATTATTCAAAATTTATGATCAAATTAATCAAACCGAACGATGCTTAATCCTACGTATAATGCATGCAAACAGTGAAGACAAAAACATATTTGAGTTTGTGCAAAGGTCCAATTTGCTTCATTTATCGCAAAAAATTTTTAAATTTTTACAGGATATGATTGAAACATGTGTGTTGAGAAAAAAGGTGACACGAGTTTCATCAAAAACAAAAACCAAAACCAAAAATGCTTGAGAATCGAGAGCCTACGTAATTGTTGCTTTAAAAATTAAAACTGTTGGCAAAAGCTTCAATTTTGACATCCAATCAGACTCCACTAATGCCGCCTGATGTTGACAGCTGAAAAGTGCCCCCTTTTTTTTTTTTTCTTTGTTAATTCACTAGCGGCGGATGTTGATTTTATTTTTAATGTATATTAATTTTTTTTTATAAATAAAAATCACTTATCCAAAAAAATTGGGTTACAGAAGGCTCCAGTAATCTAAAACACAACAAATGATATAATATAAATAAATAATATAAAAATAATTTGATTTAAAATTTTAATAATAATTATATATAAATTAAATAAAATCAAAAAATATATTTATATTTTTTATCAATATAAATCAAAATATGTGATTTTATTCAAAAACATAAATTTTAATATTTTATATAAAGAAAGAGGCTTGAAAAAGACACATGGGGTGCATGTGTGGTCTGATGTCTGTATGCAGGCCTGAGCAATATGAATGCGATGCATGTGCCTACGGCTCTCTTTTTCTCTCTCTCTAGTTTGCAACAGCAGATGAAATGAGTAAATTAAAAATGAGTGGCCCTTTACATTTCATTCGACTCAATCGTCAAAGTGTCGCTACTCTCAGTTGCCTCTGCAAATCTCATCTCTCTCTCTCTCCCAGAAACTCCAAAACCCATCCCTATATATTGATAGTGATGAAACCCAGGGCATTCGTGTGGCTTCTGGGATTGATGTATGGAACAGGTGGCAGCGCATCAGTCCCCCACTGTAAGAGTGACCCTTCCTCCCTAACTAGCAGGCTCAGTCAGGGTCCTTTGTCTCTGGGGCATTCCCATTGAATGTGAGGGGCAGGTGGTTACTGGTAACAGCTCACTCTTCATAGTCACAGGTGCCCAGTCCAACATTTCAGAAAACGCCCAGGCTGAGGATCACCATTGCTTCACATGTGCCTAATTTTGGGCACTCCCTTTGAATACAAAATGTCCGGACATTTTACCCACATGGATGCCTGCCAGATTTCTCATTAACATTTTGGCGCTATCGCCAACTTTTGGAGACCTGGATTTTCGTGGATATTCACATTCAATGACCCCAAATCAATAATTGTTTTCCACAATTTTCCAAGACTCACAAACCCATTTCTAACTAATAAAAAAAATATCTATCTCTTCGTCTTACTCTCTCTATCGTAATTTTATATTTTTATATCAATACATTATTACCATACGAATTATTATATCAATACAAATTATAACAAATAATATAAATACATAAAACATAGAATTGCTAAATCTGCTTCAATAAAATATGCGATTAGACAATGTAAACTTACCTTGTAATTAATATTTGAATCCCTTCGTCTCTTCATATATACTTTCTTAAATGTAAAAATAATGATAATTCGAAGCCACTAAAAATGAAGGTGATGGAACATTTATAAAGAAACTTTTCCCCAGTTGTTAAAAAAGTTGAAAAAAAATGAGTCAAATTTTTTTTATTGATCTCGTTGGACTTAACCGAAATCTAGCAACCAAACAGGTCATATAATAAAAATGTTTTTAATATACAAGAACATTTAAAAGAGAACGAGGGAGTTTTTAACAGGAGTGCTGAGAGATGGAGAGAGAAGGGCGAGAAAGATAATAAAAATTAAAAATAAAAGATGATGATGACACTTGGCAATTAAGAAAATAAAAGTGTCACTGGCTAGTCGGCGGTGGGGAGTGAGGCGGAGGAGCTGAGCTAGAGCCGGCGGCTCCAGAACCAGATAGCAGGTCGGCGAGAGCGCTCATGGCTCGAATCTGCATCTCAAGTGCTCCTATGTAATCGGTTGCTTCTTCAAGAATAACCGGTAATGGTTGCTTTCGGCAACCGGGAACTAACCGGCCAAGAACCTTGACTTTTCTTTGAACAGCCGGTAAACTTTTTGGTTTCAATTTCGAAACGCTAAATCTCGGTTTCTTCGACCAGCTACTCCCAGTTATGGAGGCCACGGAAGCGGTGGATCCTCTCGGTCTCTTCTGCTTTCTAAATTTCAGCTTAAGCCTGCTTGTCAAAATGGCCCGGCTCCACCTGGTTCTCCCTTTAGCCGCAACGGCCAAGGCTCTATCAGCAGCGTCACGGACAGCCCGGCCACCGCGAGGAGCCGAAGCAGGACTGTTGAGACTGACCTGGCTCAAAGCTTGAAGAAGCTTCGAGGAATAGATTTGCTGCTGCGTCTCTGATTTCCATCTGGTGTGGTTCTGCTTTTGGCTCTGCTGATTCTCTTTGATCATTGATTTCTTCTTCTTTTTCCTTTTGCTGCGATCAGAATTTGTGTTCGTCACTGGATTCGTTATCACGGATGCCATCTCACGCGATCAAATCCGCTAATATTCTCTCTCTTTTTAACCGTATGATTCGGTGAATTATAACAGAAATCCGTCTGCAAAAAAAAAAAGAAAAAAAAATAAAGGAATTTAAATTCAGAATTTTAGATAAAAATTTCAAATCAAAATTCCAAAAAATAAGCGAATTTATTACAGATTTGATGAACTCACAGAGGATTTGAGAGAAAATATCGAAAGAATAAGAGAAAAAGAACGGGGAGAGGGGGATGAACGGAACGGAACGGAGTTAATGAGGCGTCGATTGTTGTTTTGGAGAGGAAAGAGAGAAACGGAGGGAGGAAAGTGAAATGGCTATAAAGGAATGGAATGAAATGAAGAGCACGGGTCAATTTACTGGGTACTCTTATTTATTGCTTTTGGGTTTGGGATTTTTACTTTCGTGGGGGAGGTAGCGTGGGCGTGACCTTTGTTATGGTGAAAGGCTGACGATCGGTCTGATTCAGCCTGGGTCTGCTGATGGGGTGTTCACCTTGTCGTTTTGGGTTCTATCCCGATCCTTTCATAGACAGCCTGACACGTGCATTTGTAAACGAAACCACACTTCTGGATACAATCCATTTTCTCAAATCGCATTATTTTTCAATACAAAAGTTTAATTTTCTTTCAAATAATCTCAAAAATATTTTAAAATCAATTTAGTATATTTAAAATTTCATTTTCATATCTCATACAAAAATTAAATTTGAATTCAAGAAAAAAATTACTTTACTTACCAACATAATTAACCTTTTTGATTTCTTAAATTGCATTATTATACTATAATCTAAAGCTTTTTTTATCTGTATAACAATTAAATTAGAGGAAGGGATTTATTCTTGTGTCCTAACTATTTAAAGGATGGAAAAGGCTACCGCTATGAAACTATGCTAAATTAAATGAGTCTTGATATGCATATATTAAACTTATTTATACTATTTTTTTAATAAAAATTATCATTATAATCAAATAATTTTAAATATACATGTAGAAAAAAATGAATAAAAAAATCAGACTAATATTTGAAGAGACTTGAACTTTAATCAGATTAATATCATTTTATATATCATCAAATGTCTCTTATTTCTCATTAAAATAAAATCTCATTTACACTTTATTTATATATCCCTATTTATTCTATTACAAAAAAAAATAAATACATGAATTACATTCTATTTTTATTTTATATTTTTAAATAATTATTTTTTTTCAACATTTATATATCTAAAGAATATAATTATTTATTATTTCAACCATTTAATGATGGTCAAAAACCACTTATTCATAATGTCCCTTGATAAGTTTAATATCAAGAATCAAGTGATATCAACTTAATAAAAAAATATATATCTTTTCATTTTAAAAAATAACTATTTATCCTTTCCAATACAAAGTAACAAATGCAAGACATCATTTCCAATATTTAAAAGAAATGACAAAATGTGACAATAATTCTATTAAAGCCATAAACTATAACTAGCATGAACAGAAGCTTGCGTATTACATATGCATGAATTTTCGTCAAACCAAACACTTTCTGCATTCGAACAATAAGTACTTTCATTTCATTCAAATTTCTCTAAATAACAAACAAAACAAAAGCAATACAATCAGTAGGAGTGTTCCAGATATGAACAATCAAAAAATTAAATTTGATTAGACTTTTTCGATCTGAATTTAAATTGATTCTCATTTTAATTTAATTTGATTTGATTCATCAATTTTAAAATTTTAATTTTTTTAATATATTATTTTAATAAAATTTTAATATATTTATATAGATTTATTATATAATAATTATTTTTATTTTATAAAAATTTAAAATATATAAAAAATTAATAAAAATATATAATTTAATCTGATTCAATTTTTTTTAAATTTTTCATATCTCAATTTAAAATTTAATATAAATTTAATATATACATTTAATATTTAATCTTAATCTAAAACAAAAATCATTTAAACTAAATCAAACAACATAATTTTAAATTAATTTTTTATTTTTAAAATTTTTTTCTCAGCCTTAACAGTTAGACGATTTTTTTTTCCGGTTTCAAATAAAACTCTTCTTGGCCCAAAAAAGAGAATTAAAAAAGGTTAACTATTGGCCAAATTTTACCTCAAAACGACGCAATTCAGCACAATTTCAGCGTCCATGATGCCAAATGTTAAAACAAAAGAAAAAAAAAGGATATGGTGATGTGTCGAGGTGTGATTGGATTTATATGTGGTGTTGGCTTTCACTAATTGACTGGGAGACCCCGTCCCACACAAAATGTTGTTTTCATTCGTGCAATGATTATTGGAGGTGATGAACAACAAAAGAAAAAAATAATAAAAATAAACAAAGGAAAAATGCATGTGCAATGTGGGTTGTTTCTCTGGCACTTTTCTATCTCGGGCTTTGTTTTGTATATTTGTTGGGATAGGAGGTTTGGAATTTTCCCTACTTTCTGAGGTGTGGACAGTTATGCTCCACATTTTCTGCCAAGGGGTCCCCATTTTCTCTAATGCCAAAGATATTTATTCAGAAAAATTCTCACTAATCCTATCATTCTTAACAAGAAAGCTTCCACTAACCATATGGTTTTTTTCCCACCTCAACATTAATCAAAAAGAAACTTTTGTGTTTTGTCACTCTTTTCTCATTAACTGGCTCAATATCACTCCCTAATCCCCATTACATATAATGACTATACATGACGGTTTCAAGAAAATGGCCCACCTAGTTTGTGCTTAACACAGCAATAATTTTAAGTTAATCGACAATGTAATCTGCACTTTAATGGTGCAATTGATTTGATGCAGATTGTTAATGAAAACCCAGGTTACCAGTAAAGAAATCAGCCCACAAACAGAGGTTCATGAAAACCCACGAAGGTCTTTTACCTTGGGATAATAAAAAAGATGCTCAAAATTCTAATATAATCATGAATCTAATCCTAATAATCACAAAAAATCATTGTACCATGGGACATTATATGGTGGATATCTTAAAATAATTTTAATCTAATAAAATCTAGCTGACATTATGGTGTGCCAGAGAGATTGCTTCCCTTGTGTGAGACAAAATGAAGCAACGGCACCAGAAAAAAGTGAGGTACTTGCTGCAGATGGAATGGTGAAGGCTGGTTCAAGATTGTTTAAACTAGCTATGGATTCAACCATGAAATGGGAGGGAACCCCAATTATTGCTAAGATTCGTAGTGATGAAAATTCAGAAGTAATCCCAACTTAACACAATGTGAAAGAGTATAGTTTAGTGTAAGAATGCGCACGAGTTAAAGAGGAGAGTACAGCAAATATCTGATAGAGGTGAAAAAGAAGACCAGTTCACATCAAACCTGCATGAAACTGGAAATTGTTTTAGCTAATCAAATCTGATTATACTGTATTACTATGTCAATAAATTTGCAACCCAATCTGAATCTGAATCTGAATTTCACATGAATCACAGATCAAACCAGAATCAGTTTATGCTATGGCAGAACAATAAAAAAGGGAGTCAAAGAAAATGTCACTTGTGTGAAATTGATTAGCATAACACGCAACTTTTTTAAATTTTTGAGCAGATTTCCATATATCTATCAAAAGTAAACTAAAGAAAGGAAAGGAAGAGAGTAAATATGGCCCCATAACAAGTATAACTCCAAAAATAATGTAATGAAAACAGCAGTTTCTATAATGTGCTGGCAAGATGACATCGTAGCATTACAAGGTTTCAAGAAGAAGGTTAGAATGATAACGTAGTAGCAGCAAGCTTTCCATTTACCCATCATGAAATGATGAAAATGTTTTAATTCTTGCAATTATGGCAAATTTTTGTTTCTTCTCTAAGCCATATTGGCTTGGTAATGGGTAAACGGTCAAAGCAAGGGTGTTGCATCAACATCATGAATATGGAGTTGTTAACCTTAAATATGTAAACACATACAGCCAATGTTTCTGCTAGCAAATTTCTCTAATGATTCCAATATAGATCACATAACATCCTCCACTCAGCTGATCAGCTTCAACAGTTTTAACCATGTTATCAAAGGTAAAAATAAAAGAACATTCCCACCAAAAAGAAAACAAAATAGTGGGAATTGTGAATCGCTCCATCTCTGTAGCGTCACCATCTTAGGGAACAAATTGCAGCATCATAAGTAAAAACAAAGTGAGTCAATTTAGATTCATTAAATGCTGAAATAATCTTGCTTGATGAATATTAATCCAAATTTTAGCACAAAGACACTTATTGATGGAAAGCAAACATCCAATGATTATGTTAGAATCCATCATTGATAACTCAAAATTTATTTATTTTTAATGCTAAACGTTGCTTTAAAGTACAACCAGCTCTCTCTCTTTAAAAAGAAAGGTTTAAACTATTTAACAAGTTACAGATCTTTGTGGATCACATCGAATCTCGGCTCTTTATGTACAGTCAGGCCTAAAAGTTTAGTGTGCTCATTCATTGTATTAATCATGCTCTCATTCATAAACAAACAAAAGTTTTGTGGATTACACCAAACCATTTGCTTTAATCCAGCTAACTCTACCGCCTGTGCCACACATCACTAGGAAAAAAATCTCCTACTTGGCATGCTCAAGTAAAGTCCTCATCAGTTTTATTGTCCAATCTGCTTCTTACTATAGTGCCTGTCAGGCTTCTTTTTATTGACCTATTAATGATTTATGTAACTGTCAAATTAGACCCTTGCTTGTCCCCTCATGAAACAACTTTCAAAGAAAGAGCCTATAAGATTGCATTTGGTGTCACCGTTTTAAAATCTTCCCATCCCTTCTTACAATTCCTAACTACTTTCTCTAAAAGAGCCTATCATTCCTCTTTCACTGTCCTTTTATCGTAATATAGAACTATTTTATTTACTTCAAGGAGAAAAATAGTTGATAACATAAATATAAATATTGTCAATGCTTGACATTGTGCATTCTAAGAGTCACCTTGAAGTTGTCTAAAGTTGCCCCCCCCACCAAAATCTTATGCATTTGTTTATTTATTTATTTATTTGAGAGAGAGAGAACCAGAATCTGAATTCTTAACCAACTCATACAGTCATGCTTTCTTTTGGTTCCCTATATTATAATATTGTGACCGTTAATTTGACTTGTTTTACCTAAGTCAAACAAACAAAGATATGAAACACTAACAACTTGAAACATTTGACCCATTACTTGATAATACATAATAAAGCCACATACAAGTTACGTCAAGAGGTCAAATATCTAGATAGTACAATTGCAGGAAAATAAATATGGGCATGCCAAAGACTTAAAAACAATTTGAAATAAGATAATCTTTTGAAGGACCTACACCACGGCATAAGCCAACTCTTTACGTATAAATTATATTGTTTACAGTATGACAGTTTTCATCCTGAAGAATATGCATGCTTTAGTTGTTTAGCATCAGGGGCATAAAGCCGTTACCATTCAATAAATAACTTCAATTATTGATTGCCCAGAAGAGTGTCATCATATCATTAGTTAAGGACATAAGAAAGGTGGGTAGATATGCATGTCCTTGCAACCAGACTTTGCCCTATGTGTTGCTGATTAAAGTCTTCAGTTACTGTTCATCGAAGCTTTAGCATGTTACCAACTAAGCGTAATAAGGAAAATACAAAAGGTTGAAATAGGCATCCATAATGTGCATAATCACTAGTGCATGGTACAAGAAATTTTTAATAGCCATGGTTTTTGGGTAAAATTGTTACTAGCAATAAGTATGAAGTTTAGAGAGCTTAGAAACAATCAAGCATCTAAATAGAAAAATCATCAAACCAATTAACCTCCATTAGCTGATAGAGTTTACAGCTATATGTGTGTGTGTGCAACATCAGTCATTAGCTCAATCCCAACACATAAAAAGCATCTATATGATCAAAAACTTGAAGCAGCATCACAAAGAGGATCCAAAAACAAATCCTACTAACACACAAACAGCAAAAAAAGTACCTTCAAGTTGGCGGCAGTCCAGTGAAAGAACCAACGACTCTTGAATAGCAGAACAAATAGAAGGAAAACAGCAAGACCGCAACAACCCAAAGCAAGAAGCAGAGAAATCAGACATAAGCATTTCTAGAAACAAGTTCAGGGAGCTCATCTCTCTCTTGAGGCAGAGTGTAAAACTCATGAATTGTGGACTTGATTAATGCATCGAGAATCTTCTTGGATTTGTTCTCCATGTCAACAGAATTCAATGCTTGGAGTCGAGCTTGTTCTAGAAGATTTACCATAATCTCTACTTCCGCTGATCCAGTCTTTGCAAAGCCAACTTGTCCACCTCTGTTTGCAGTGATCCTCTTTGAACAAGGAGTGAAGGCTTTCTGATGAAGGTGAAATTAATGGACACGAAGCCATAACAAAGCTCTGAAGACGCAAAGAATTCAAAAATTGAACAACATTTTTAAAGCAGGAAATTTGTTTTACGGTATTTATTAACAGTTGAATCAAAAAGAAATAAAAATAGTATAAAACGTTATTTGAACTGCAATAATAGAGATTAGCTAACTAAAATTTCAGATCAAGAATTAATTGAAAAGCATTCAGTTTATCAGCCTCCAACAGCTCAATTTTTACTCATATCACAGAAAATCATGTAAAAAAAAAGCTACGTAATTGCCTCGTACCTCTGCGGTTTCATCGTTGTAATTAGCATCTGAAACGACGGAATCGAAGAGAAATCAATGGGCTCTTCAGAAATTTCGGGCAAACATCTTCAATCGGTGAAACGAACGCTTCGATTAAACCCTTCAGAGCAATCTGCAATGAAAAGAAAAAAAAAAACAAAAACGAAAACAAAGAGAGAAAAATGAGCTTGCAAAGCAGAGGAAACAATGCGGAGAGGAAATTGAGAAATTAATGTTTATTAGAATCACTGGCCCTACTTGAGGTTTTCTTCGCCGGAGAATCCTTCGATCGGCGATGCGCGAGATCCGAAGATCATGGGAGTTCTTTTCGCGGAATTTGATTTTTGCTTTTTAGGTTCATTTTCAAAGTTTCGCTCTATTTCTGTCGCTTTTTGGCGGCAGGATTTTCGATTTCAACTTTTACCAAAATTTGAAATATATATATTCTGCAGACTTTATAGTTGACCAGAGACGGTGATTAAGAACTACAATTGCGTATAATTAGGTCTTTTAATCAGTTATTAAACATGATACAGATCGGTTTAAGAGTTAAAAAGAATTTTAACTAAATCCAAATTTCAATTCAAATTGGATCTAGTAATATAAAGTATGGCATGTTAATACGACATTAATACGATAAAAAAATATAATACAAATATGATATAATTTAAAATTTTAATAATAATTATATATACATTTAATAAAATAAAGAAAATTTATATTTTTTTATTTTAATAAAATTTATTACACATAATTTTTAAATAAAATATAATATAAATATATAAATTTTAATATTTTTTATGATACAAATACATAAATAATTAGATTTAGTTCAAATGATACATACCACCTTTATAGGAGATAAAAATTTTTTTACACTTATCATGCAGTTCTAACATTTTTTGTATAAAAAAAATTAACTTTAATTGAATGAGCTAGTATGCAAAATCTTCCTTTATATGTCCAAATCCAAAATGATATTCTGGCCTCAAAACACAAGAATTCTCACATAGTTTTATTATTATTGCTTTTTCTTCTTTTTTCTTTACTTTAAAGAAAATGCTAATTAAACATGCTGATAAATTTAAAATCTACTTCATAATAAAAGATATTTAAATACTGTTTTTATTATTGCTGAAACATTAAATTTCAATTAATTTATTTCAAAATTTTTCTCATTTTTTACCAAATATATTTGTATTATGAATTATGAAAAATATTGGAAAAGTTTTTAAAAAATTAAAAAAAATAAAAAGAAATCTCATTATTCTCATTATTTTAGTGATGATATCATGCTATTGATATGTCGTAAATTTTTGTAATAATGAGGTAGTTGAAATAACATGTGATACCATTGAATATCGATAATTAATTTATAATATTACTAATAACTTTAACCATATGTTCATTGGAAAGTGGGTGAAAATCATACATTTTATATTTGTAATAATTAGTATTAGTTAGGATATAAAATGGAATAGTGTCAAATCTATTTTTCCAAGTAGTTTAGAGTTTGCCAATGTGACCTTGCTTAAAACTTAAAGGTAAGCAGGAGGTTTGTAGTGTTGTGTTTTGGTTTATTTGTTTGATTATTTATTAATTTTTTATATGAATATAATATTTGATTATAATTATAATTTTTATTAAACTTATAATTTCATTAAAAAAAGTTTAGAGTTTGAATTGGATTATTGATTGTTTCTATTCTTTTAAAAACTAATTTTGAACACGGCTATATCACTAGTATATTGTGTGCTTAATTTATATGCATCTTTCAAACTTAACAAGTTTAAATTTGCTCGTGAAATAATTTAAAATTTAATTTAGTTTATTCGTATAATCGTTTTCAAAATATAATATTTAATATATTTAAAATTTAAATATCAATAAATGCAATTTCTTTCCCTATTTCTACACTGCAATTTCCTTTTTATCAAAAAATATTTGGCTCATTATCATACTGTTATATGATAATTAAGGTCAAGAATTGAAATTTATATGTTTATTGTTATATTTAATAAAGTCGAATGACCGTTGAATCATGATCAATATGACTACTTTTAAAATATTTGACATTTTTTACCAATATATATATGGTTCTATCTTTAAAAAAAAAAAAAGAAAAAAAGAAAAAATGGTGCATAAAATTTTTGGAATTCAATATTAAACAAATTAAAATTACATAGCAATCAATGGAGAAAAGAGAAATGAAAGCACCTAAGTGGAGGTCATTTCTAGATTCTTCAGTAATAGTAATTGTACAGGACCCAAAATCAGTCAATGATTGATATATATGAGCATGATCAAAGAAAATTGTCAACAAAATTTTTTTTTAATGTAAATACAATTCGAGATTTAAGTCAATTAGTTTTATAAATTTATTTTTAAAAAACGACATAATTAAATTTTAATACCTATAACATTTTATTCTACCCTTATATTACGATGTTTTTTATTTATTAAAAAAAGAGTAAATTTTTATTAATTTAAAATTTGATTAAAATTTTTACCAAGCTAATTAAATATAAGACATAATAGTCACAAAATTAATATGTAATGCAAACAAAGTTTCAAAGATTCCCTCACCAACAGTACTTTAAAATAATTTTCAACCTATATCAATGTCTAAGAATCGAGGAAACAACTTGTAAATTAAAGAAATCATTCTTGGTGATTACAAAGAATAACGTTGCTCTCGATAAATAATACTTTACACTAACTAAGCATGAATCTTATAATGAATATCATACAATGTTCAAAGATAAAGATAAATGTAAAACAAGTACTGTTAGGATATTTATAAATCCTGAAAAAAAAATGTACAAATCATGCCTTTGCAAAAAATTAAAAAGTGAATCGAGTTTGAAATAGTACTAATTAGTTAGTGAAACCTTTACATTAAACATATATTAGTAGTTAAATTGGCCGTTAATTATCATTTACATTAACTAATATTAATTCCGTTACATGTACTCCCATTATATGTCAACTCAAATTAGTAAGTGATGTTTAATCTTGGTGAAAAGATGTAATCCAAATACATAGTGTATAGTAATCATGGCAAAGTGAGAAAAAAAAAATTAATTTGAAAACAATGAATCACCCAATGTTGAACCCTAGAATGGCAACACAATTCACGATTACTTTGCTATTCACAATCAACAAATGAAAATAAAAGAAAAGCCTTAACTATTTTCATTAATCATAATTACTTTGCTTGGTGGGAATACCAGGGCCAATGGTTTTGCAACATTGTGATACCCCCACCTCACCCTGTAATTTCTTAGTGCCAAAAAATCCATCGCAATTAACCTTGAACAGCAACCCAGCTGTGGCTATAAAACCCTAGTCTCTAGGGTTCTCCCTATAGTTTTCTCACAACTTGAATGTGGTAAGCTTTCATTAACCCTAGTTTCAGTTTCAGTTTCTCTTTTTTTTTTTTTGTACGACAGATTTCATGGATCTCACTTTGGATAAGCCCAAAGTATAGTATTTTGTTTTAATATTTCAATTATTAATGAAGTATATATTGAAATTATTGTTTCAATTTCAGGGTTTAATTCGCAATTTTTGATGATCATGAAGAACTTAGTAATGATCTTTTTTGCCCTGGTGTTGTTTTTGGCAACCGTGGAAGTTGATGGAAAAAGTTTCAGCGGCCCGGACCCTAAGCCCTTAAGTAATCAGCAGGCAACTACCAGCAGTCTGGATCGAAAAGCTGACGTTGAAGCTAGAGAAGCAAAAGATTCAACTGCAAACGCTGCAACTGATGCAAGCCTTGCTGTTGCTGCTTACCAGGAAGATGGTAAGCTCTTAAGTGATCAGCAGGCAACTACCAGCGGTCTGGGTCGAAAAGCTGACGTTGAAGCTAGAGAAGCTAAAGATTCAACTGCGAACGCTGCAACTGCTGCAAGCCTCACTGTTGCCGCTTCCCAGGAAGATCGTAAGCTCTTAAGTGATCAGCTGGCAACTACCAGGAATCTGGGTCGAAAAGCTGACGTTGGAGCTAGAGTCAGAGAAGCTAAAGATTCAACTGAAAACGCTGCAACTGCTGAAAGCCTTGCTGTTGCTGCTTCCCAGGAAGATGGTGATACTAACCCGACTTTCGGACACTACGGATCTGATAATGGTCCAAGCGACATCTGGAACCACCATGTCTATACAACTGGGGACAATCCTTATGCTCCGAAGCCCAAAAAATCACCATAATTCGCAAATTTGAAGCTTGGAAACTGATAGAGCCATTTGTAAGTTATATGGCGTGCCCTGAGAATAAAAATGGAATAATTAACATGTTAGAAAGAGCCAAATATTGGCACATGTTAATTAAGTTTCCTAAAAGAAGCCACTTTCAATGGAGATTTGCATATGATGAAAATCTGGCTTTGCAGCTAATTATCGAGGCCTGTGTATTTTACTATTATCTAGCTTTTGCAATGCAATAAAAGACAAGTTAATAACCATACATGGTTTCAGCTTGTTTACACTTCGTAGTACAGATTAATCAAAATTTTAGGATCAAAATGGAGAGCTTTCAGTAGACAAACACTTCTTTTACATGAGAAAAAAAAAAAAAAAACAAAGACAAATTAAGCCTTAGCCCCCAAGTACACAGTTTGATTTAGAAATGCTTTAACAATTAATTGATTATCAATTTTTCTGTAATTAATTAATTAATTAGGGTGGAGGTGATATTTTTATACTTCGATTGTAAGATATCGAATTTTGATAATCGAAATTAAGAGTTTAATATTCTACCAATATTTCACACAATTATTGATAGGGCGAAAGTAATTTAGAAATATATAAATTGCAATTCTATTTTAAAAAGATGAGATTGAGTGATTAAATATGGAGATATTCCTTGTTCTAACTTCTAAAGTGCTATGTTTTTCTTTGAGTTAGCCTTCTTAATTAAAATAAAAATCCTGCTGTAATGGCCAAAAAATCAGTTATATGCTAATGGTTAAGGGGAATTTTTTTTTGGCCAATTGATGAAACTTAGTATTAATAAAGAAGACAATACAATCATCAATCCACTAATACAATAATACTCAGAATGCATTTAGAAAAATTCAACCATGCTGCCCTATGCATCCAAGCTCCATTTCTGCATTCCTCAAGGAGGGGCTGGTAACCATCCTTATCAAGGAGACCAAGGATGATGGGGCAGGGTACATTAACCCAGTTGCCTTATCTTCTATGCTGGACTGCATTAATCCAATCCTTAACTTTATTTGCCTTCCTACCGATACAACTCAACTTTAACATCTTCAAACTTTTTAAGCCCTAACCATGGATTTAAATAATGTCCACGATAACAGCTGCTATTTAATGGTAACACTGTTTTCCATCACTATTATTCACCACAATGAAGGTGTGAATCACCATTTACATAAACTATGGTATATTATATTCGCATATAATGATATAACGACCTTAAGGAGACACTAAAACGTTATTTATGTTTTTCTTTAATATATCTATGAATTGTATAGCATATTAATTCTGAATTATAACTAAAATATGTGAAAAAATTATTTTAGCCTATAAATATAAGATTAAGAAATTATAAATTACTTTAAATATCACAAATAAATATTAGTATATTAGACTATTCTATGGTAAATACGAAAATTAAAAAAAAAAAATTTACGACTGCAATAAGCATTACTACCGTTATTTTATTTGTTATATCTATAATTACAATAAATGTAATATGATCGTAATCACATTTTAAATCCTTGCCCTGTCAATACATCCTTAATTTACCATAGATTTAATCCTCCATTCTGATTCATTATTTCTAGGTCTCAGGTGCTTGTACAGACTATATGAATCAGTTTCCAATACAATCTTCGGAAACTTAGCCTTTTGCTCCCTTGCTGCTAAAGCCTCAACTTCCAGAATCGATGAACCTGAAACCTGTTTACCAATTCCTCCAATCAATCAATGGTCAAGGGGATTTGATCCTCCCCGTCTTTCTTTTCATTTACTTCAAATTAACTTTTATTATATTTAGGAGCTTAATTTGAGTAAGCTGTGACTTTAGATGTATCGAGCAATTAATACTCATGAAAAGAAACGAGTTTTCTATATTAATCATCTTACGTTTAAATTTAGGAATTTAACAGGTTTCATACTCTCTCAAATATTCAATCATTTAAGATGTTTTTGTATGATAATTATTCTAGCTAGATAATTATATATCCTCACCATTTGTAAATAGAAATTAATATATTAAATAAAAAAATCATAATCTCATGGCATTTTTTGTGTAATTGAGGCCTAATAGACCCGATTCATAGATATCTTTATGCAGCATATATATAACTAAAATTAATGGTTAATAATTGTGTAATTTATTGATAAAATGTTGGATTATAATTAATTTTAATGAGCATTATTCAATCTTTGACCATCTTAAATATAATAAAAATCTAAAATATTGGTGCAATAATCTTTATGTATGGATGATACCTCTCTGATACATGTTATATAGATTTATAATTATAATTCCAATATATTTTCCTTTTTTTTTTTTTGTATGCTTGCTTTCAATTGTTCATCTACTTGTGTCATGATGCAAAACCTAATCTTATGATTTGGTTATTCCATTATTAGTAAATACCTTGCTTATACTATCTCTATAAGTAACAAGTCACTTTATATATATACTCTGCTCGCCGAATCCTTTGGTCCGCAAGCCTTGAAACTGAGCTACTTATAATGCTATACAGCTAGCTGTAAGTGAATTTCTATATAGTTTGCATGGAAGAAAGGCCAAGCTTTTAGCTAAAATGGAGTTTTCCTATATTGGAGTCATCGACGAGCCCGTTTTATTGGACAAGAGAAACGGCATGGCAAAACCCTAAAATCAAATGAATGTATGGACTGATTGGTTTGGAGGGTGAAAATTTTTCATTTGGTCTTAAAATAAAATGGAATTGTAGTTTGGTTTTGTAAAATTTTGAAACTAATCCAAATCCAAAATGGAATTCAAAGTAAATAATACAATTCTTTTGTTTAAGGCTATTATCATAACGTTTAGATCCAGGGATTTATTGTTAGATATTGACTTAAGAAGTCACCACCAATCTTTTTTATCTATATGCGATTGACCACCTAAGGAATCTATTCTTTTAAAGAACACCTAAGCTTAAGGGTCTCTAGGTTCAGGTCTATTAACCAGAACAAGGTTCGAGAGTTCGGTTACGTGTGAGGAAGATTATAGCACTCTCACAACGCCCATCGAAAGATGATATCAGCTTAATTTTGTGTTATCAAATAAGCCTTAAAAATTTATCAAATAATTAATTATTAAAAATTATTCTCAATTGACTCTAATACTTTTAGCAAAAAATTAAAAAAATTTCTCACCTCAAGAGTATGCAAAGAGATTATTGTTTCACTTGCAGAGTCTTTATCGTCGGATTGTTTATCATTAAAGAAAATTCAAGAAGCAAAAATGAAGAAAAAAAATAATTCAGTTTTAGGTATAAATCATTTTCTCTTCAAAAACTTATTGTTTTTGTACAAGAAAAATTGATACTTTTAATTTTTTTTCAAAAATATTTTTATGAAATTTTAATTTCAAGGAAAATTGATACTTTCAACTTCTCCTCAAAAACTCATTTTTTAAAAAATTATTTTTAAAAAAAATTGATACTTTCAACTTTTCCTCAAAAATATTTTTTAAAAAACTTATTTAAGAAAAAAAATGATACTTTCAACTTTTCCTCAAAAATATTTTTTAGAAAACTTATTTTTAAGGAAAATTGATATTTTTAACTTTTTCACAAAAATATTTTTTATAAAAACTTATTTTCAAGGAAATTTGATACTTTTAATTTTTCTTCAAAAATATTTTTTAGAAAACTTATTTTCAAAGAAAATTGATATTTTCAACTTATCCTCAAAAATATATTTTTTAAAATTTTTATTTAAAGAAAATCAAAAACTAAAATAAAAATAAAATAAAATAAAAAATACTAAATAATTCTAATTTAATCAATAAATAATAATAATAATAATAATAATAAATAAATAAATAAAAAACAAATGAAAAAAAAAACATTGGAACGGCTCGGCTCGGCTTGAGAAAAAAAACAGCTCGGAGACGTGGCTCGGGAGTACGCGACTCGGCTCGGCTCGACTTTAGCTCGACTCGAACCTAGGTGGAAAAGCGGGTCGTTGGATCGGGTCGCCCGAATGAGAACATGCAGATCCTGGGGTCTTTTTAAGCATAAAACGACGTCGTTTTAACATGGTATAAAAGGCTATAGTGTTAGTTTTTTTCGACAGATATCCCATTCCTTCTTTCTCTCTTCCTTTACTTTCCTCCTCCTTCTCTCTACCCGAACCAAAAACTCTGGTTGAATATCGTTAGATTCTAAAAAATATCACTGAAATCTGAGTTTTTCGACGGAAGTTCGTCGAAAAGTTGATCGATTTTTGAAAATAGTTACCGAAAACTAGGTAGCTGATCGAAAAATTCAACCGGTGCCGAAAAAGTCACCGAAAAATTTAAACTTTGTCAAAAAATTCAATCGAAATCTAAAAATTTTTCAAAAATTTTCAAAAAAAATTTGCCTAAAATTCTCAAAATTTTTAAAAGACCCTAAAATTGCTTTTAACCCTTCTGAACACTTTTTTTTTCTTCTCTTCTGCTCTTCCTCTCTCTCAGTGTGTTTTTTCTCTCTATGTTCTCCCGTATGCTTCAGCACCTATTTATAAGGATTGATTAGAAGAGTTTCTGATCAATCATAATTTCTTTTGGGATTTGGATCAATCTTTGAATCCAATCCGAACTCTGTCAGCCCCAAATTCACGTCAGAATTTCAATTCTAATCCTAATTCCAATCGAGAATCAATAAAAAAAATAAAATAAAATAAAATATATTAATAGATAAATAGTAATATATGAATAGATAAATAATATAAAAATATATATATTAACAGATAAATAATAAAATAAGTTGATAGATAAATAATTGAGAAAAAAATAAAATAAAATAAAATAAAATTATATATTAATAATAATAATAGTAATAATAAATAAATAAATACATAAATAAGATACAAAAAATAAAAATACAAAATACAAAATAAAAAATAAAATAAAATGGGCTTACCCATTTGGACTAGGCCTAATTGATTCGGATCTGGACTAAATTAGATGTCTACAGCTATAACAAAGTTTTTTTACTATTATTAACTATATTGTTTTTAGAACTTTGCTATGAATTAGTTAGTTTGATTTTTAAAGAATGGAGTTGTATTATAGTGGGAGCGGGAGATGTTAGTACTTTATGTGCAATAATACTATAAAGGAAAAGACTTTCATGAAATTTGTTAGATGAAATTCATGATATTTTTTATTAAAATCGATTAAATAAAAATGAAAATCGAAAATTAAAATTGATAGATTAAAATTTTTTAATTACATAGATAAAGAATGTAAATTAAAAAAAAAAAATCTTGATATGTTTTTTAGATAGATGTTTTTATAAAATTTTTGACAAAATTTTTGCTATTAAATAAATACAGATCAAATTTAATTATAAATTATATTTTCAATAATGTTTTTTTTATATTATTAATATTTTCATTAAACTCTATTAATAAATCGATTTGAATTTTTTATTAAAGCTTATATTAAATTATTTTTAATAAAAAACATTTTAAATTTTACTTAAAAAACTTTATATAAGTTCTTCCCATACTGTAAATGTTTAACGGAGTATAAAATATCTTTTTTAATTGATCTTGAGAATATTTAAAGTATGTATAATAAATAAATAAATATCTTTGAAGTTTGTTAAATGTATAATAAATAAATAAATATCTTTTAAGTTTGTTAAGAAATCTCAAACCGAATAAGACAATAGAATTATTTCAATTTGGTTTGGCAATTTGATTACTTTTATTATAATTTAATTTTTTTTATGAAATTATAATCACCATAAAATAAATTTTAATATTTATATATAAAATAATACATTCATGAAAATTTTTTAAATGTTTAATAAAACTCCATCAAGGCCGACTTTTTTTATTAACGCCATCCAACGGTGTTAGATTCACGCACAAACTCGTGATTTGTCTCTTGGGAACACCCGATCCTTGCCTTTTTCCTTTTGCTTTTGGCGGCAATTGCTATCGAATCTTTTGGCCAAAATTTTCCCTCTTTAAGTAGTCATTTTAGATTTGATTCAAAACCGTAGGGGGAGAGAGAGAGAGAGAGAGAGAGAGAGATGGCGTCGGGTGCAGGAGAACGGTCAACGGAGCAGATCGACGATTACGAGACGTTAATTTCGACGACCGATGTGGAGCTCTTGAAGGGAGCATGGCGTAACGAGAAAGCGGCTCCTGAGATCCTTCCTTTCGAGGAGGCTTTAGTTAAGAGAGCTAAAGAGCAGATCCAGTTGATGGTATTATTTCTTAATCTCATAACTCCTACTCTCTGCTTGTTTCCTGAGAAAATCTAGTTATTAAAAAAAAAGATTAAAACTGAATTACTCTCAATTTTACGCTTCCATTTGGATTTAATTGTTTGTTTCTCTTTACATTTTAAATGAAATGTCAAAATTTTTTTTGATCTGGAATTGAATTTCTTTTTTTTTTTAAAAAAAAATTGAAGTCCAAATTCTTGAAACTTGAAAGAGAAGTTAATCTTAATCGAATAGTTGTATGAACTGACTTTAAAGTTAAATTAAAAATAACCCAATGAAAACCTGTTAATTACGATTAAAAATTTCTCCATAGTTAATGCAGAAATAGGAATTTTAACTCTTGATATTTATTGCCCAAGTTTTCTCAGGATTTTGAGCCAGATGACAAATAAAAATTATTACAAGTTGCAAAGATTTAAAATGCCATCGCCGTCATGTTTTGGTTCGTATTGCTCTTATCGTAATTATAGATATAATAGATAAGATATGGATAATTATGCTCATTATAGTTGTGAATTTTTTTTTTAATTTTTATAATTTATCATAGAATAATTTGATATAATAATATTTATTTATGATATTTAAAATAATTTATAATATTTTAATCTTATATTTATAAGCTAAAATAATTTTTTTTTTTTACATATTTTAGTTATACTTCAAAATCAATATCCCATAAAATTCATAAATTATAAAAAAATATATAAATAAGGATTTTAGTGTCCTATTATAATGGTTATTTTTTATTATATCGCTATTCGTGTACGCAATACACCTTAATTTATGTAAATAATTATTCACAACTCCATTGTGGTGAATACGATAGTAATAGGCGGTGTTACCGCTAATAGCAGCCGCAATATCGTATGCGGATGCTATTTAAATCCATGAAAATATCATGTTTGAAAACAAGAGTTCTGCTAAGGATTTGTTAGATGATCATTGATCCTCAGTACTAGTTAGTTTGTTAATATATCTTTTTTGAGAATGAATTGGTGCAAAATTTGCAGGAAGAAACAGTAGATGACTTTGCAGAAAGTGGTCATGATCCTCTCATTGCATCACTCTATCAGATGGACCTGGATCGGGCTCAATATTTGCTGAGATCGTATCTTCGGGTTCGGCTTCAGAAGGTAGCCTTCTCACTCTATGTATTTTCTTATCTGTTTTCTTTTGTTTGTCTCTTCAGAATGTATTGTTCTGGGGAAAGCTGAAAATGAAAATATTCTTTGAATGATGGATTGTAGGGGAAGATCACTTGAATCATTCTGCTTCTGCCAAGAGCTCCATTTCCGGATTTCCTGTATGAATTGCATACTGAAATATATTATATTTTCTTATTGATTTTCTGTGTAATGTTATTAATGCAGATTGAGAAATTCATGTTTTATATCTGGAAAAGGGATACTTATCGCAACCGTCTTTCTATAGAAGAGGAAAAGTTTACTGAAAGGTAAAGGCTTTGAGAAGTGATTTCCTTTTATTGTGAAGACATATATATATATATATATATATGTTTGTATATTAAGTTTATTGGGCAAACTTTGTTTAAACCACCAGATCCTTGAGATAACTGAGCTCCTGAATGTATCCCAACGTTCTCTTTAAAATTTGATTTCATGATTGCAGGTGTATTCGTGATATTGGGAAACATCTTGAAGAAACTGTTCTGTCAAAATTGCCTGAAAATTATCAGTCTGTATTAAAGCAATCGGTTATAAGTGAAGAGGATGACATGGGTAATTCTAATATATTTTATATATATATATATATATATATATTCAACTTTTACACTTCGATAATGCATCACTTTTCTGTGCATGTGCATAAGTGCTTTCAAGATAATAGCATGTGGTTGGAATTACAAGAACAGGAAAGCATTCAAGTTGGTCATGCCAGAAATTGATTGATATAGAAGCTTATTGATATATATTTCTTTTTTTATGTTTGTGTTTCTATGATTGCCAGTTTAGTGTCAAAGTTTTTGTTTTTCTTTTAAGTGATTTAGATTCAAGTATTTGTCACTTGTGGGCGATTTGACATACAAAGAGATCACTCAGAGACTGCAATTTTATGTACACTTTGCTTATTGATGATTGGTTTATGTCAATGATTTTCAGTTCCAGAGCCACAATTAGATACCTTTGTTGTTGCCAAATGCGAGAAAGCTACAAGACCTTTGTACCTTGATGGTAGCAGGCAATCTGCTGGCTTTGACAGCAGGCAATTTGCTATTCTCACTTGTTTGTAACTTTTGCTCTTAGAATTAGTAAACCACGCCTTTCGAATTACTAACAAACTGTATTTATTCATCTAGCAGGGATGATCACTTTCAAATGGTGCCGGGGGATCTATGCATTTTGCGTTACAGGCCATTTCAAGAGGAACTGATGAGCGGAAATATCAGTTTAGTTTGAGAATCGATCTGTAGCAATATCAGCAACTTTAAGATGGTATTAAAATAAAGCTGCTCTTCTCACCAGGCACCATTTATCTGAATTTTGCAATACTGTAAGTACAAATTTGTTCTGCATCCTGAAACACTATTATTCCAGGTTACTTGGTAGTTTGGCCCAACTGTTGTAATGAGCAAATATATGGTGATCAGGAATCTTTAAAAATTATGTAGCTGTGAGGACCTGTCTCCACGCATTTAGATAATGTATGGCTCCTTTGGTATTTATTGTCATGTTCATGGTGGAACTTCCAAGGCCCTTGCCCTTCTGGACTTGAAGCCCAGGTTTTCATGTCAGTTGGATGGTTCATAGTTCTAGCCTCAAAATGATATACTAGACTATTCTAGGCTTCGCAAATACCAGCACATCTTGCATCTACATAAATGGGCCACAGGGCTAGAGGGTTTTAAAGCTCTGGGGAATAGTTTAAAACCCAATCATTCTACCTGGTGAAGGCCTTAGGCAGCTTATAGCTATACAACTCAGTGGCTGGACAATCAACAAATTGACCAAATTGAGTCAAATGAAGGAATCCATGTTAATGGTAGTTGCTAAATGCTTCTGTCAACGCAAACAATTCCCCATTTTTGTTCCCTAATTAATTAATTAATTAACATGATTATGATAATTTATATACTTAATATCCTTTTAATATTAATCAAAACTCCAGCAAACACATGACAAAATTACCTGGAAAAAACCAATAATAGAAAAGAAAAGACAGGTTAAAACCTAGAGAATTATGGACCTCCACAAAGTTGCAAAAAAGAACCAAAAAACAAAAAAAAAGGAACCTTTATATTTTGCAATATTGAAAATGATTTCGTTGTTGCAGAAGAGATAGAACAGCAAGAAAATCCCATAGTTTTTTCATCAATTATAGATTTTGATCCATCATTTTCATAAAAACTTAAAAGAAATGTGTTCTATAGATATTCAAGATTAAACTTAACAAATTACCCAGAAAAATCAACGGCCAAAATCTTAAGCAAACCATCGAAAGAAACGCCTTCCATTTCATCACCGCCGCCCAATCTGATCATAGCCTTGATATCTTCATCGGAAGCAGGAAACCCCGCCCAGTTCATGTAACTTTTCAAATCGTCATAGCTTAATCTCCCATCGCCATCCTTGTCCATTACCTTAAAAACATCTTCCATCACCCCATAACCTGACGCCTTTCTTTTCGACGACCCTCCCAAGACACGTTCGAACTCATCGTACTCAACGAACCCATCCCTGTTCGAATCCGCCAAGGAAATCATTGTCCCAATCATTTCGTCATCATCAAAATCAGTATTACCATTATAAAACCCAGCGTAAAATCTCCTCAAATCTTCCCTACTAATCTTCCCGTCACGATCCACGTCAAGAACCTCGAATGCGGACCTGAAATCCGACCCTGAGCTGGTCTTCGCCGGCCCACTTACGTTTCTCCCCGACGGACACATGTTTTTCTTTCCCTTTAATTTCTGGCCAACAGCTTGTCTTTGTTTGGAGCAAAGGACAAATTCGACTGAGAGCGAAAAAGAACTACAAACTTCGGTTTTGGTTTGAGAGAAAAGGTTTACACGTTTGGGGGCATATATAAGGAGAGGTGATAGCGGGACCTTATAAAATTGGAGACATAAATAAAATGTAAAACAGTGGTTGGGCGACGTGGCAGGAGCGATGTCGGTAAATTTGATAATTATAAAATATTAAAATATTAAAATTTATATTATATTTTATATAAAAATTATGTATTATAATTTATTTTAATATAAAAATATAAAATATATATTTTAAATTTATTAAATTTATAATAATAATTATTAAAATTTTAAATTATATTATTTTTATATTTTATATTCATATTATGTTCGTAAATTTTTAGGTCTAAATGTTGGTACTCGGTCATGCGTATGGAGTGACGCCATGTGAAGATGAACAGTCGGTGCAAAATTGAGGTTACATTTTTGTTTTTGATCACTTGGCTGTTTGTTTTGGACGTTTTGTTGTGTAATGGTCAGAGATCACGTGGGATTATAGTCTTGTTCAAATCAGAGGACGACTTCTTTTGCTTTTATTATTAGAGTTTTGAGGCGCAAATGCAAAGGAATCATCCAGATTCCACAAAAATTAGTCTTTTTCTTCATTTTTTTTTTTTTTAAAAGCTTGGCAATCAAGTAAGTTTTTTTTTTTTTATTAATTTATTTTATGTGAGCGACAAAATTTCTCTTGCAAGGCATTCATAGGATAAAAAAAAAAAAAAGAGAGATTGAACAATTCTTCAAGTTATAGTCAAATATTGTTGAAAGCTTGCCGATCAAGTTAATAAGTTCTATTTATATATAAACGTGTACTAAGATATGGTTATTGAAAAGCTTAATGCTTAGATTACTTGTTTATTTAGTGATTAGTAAGTATAATATTTTTTTGTGTGGGAGAAATTTATATCTTGATTATCTTAATTAGTTAAGTTTAGTTTAATGATTAATACCTTTTGTTTAAAATCATTGAGGTTTAAGGTGCGACCAAATCTCTTATTTTTTAAGACTTGTCAAAGTCTATGGAAAACAAAATATATTGGTTACAAAAAAATTGGGGGAGTAAATGGAAAGGACGAGGATGACGAGAGGCTTTCTTTTGTCAAACTTGCTACAATTCCCTTCACAAATGACTTGGCTGAGAAATTCTTATGGGACCCTTCATGGGAATTTGCTTGGTAATTGGCTGTGGGATTCCACCAAAGTAATAATAATTCTTCCTCCCTTTTTGTGGTCACTGGCCACAGGAAGGAGAAAAAAAATAAAAAATCAATTTGAAATTATAATATTTAATTAGATTAGAATTGATTTTTTATTTAATTTGGATTAATTTAAATATTAAAAATATATATATATATTAAGTTTAGATTAAATTTTAGATCAAAAAGCAAAAAATAAAAAAATTTAAACTGAACCAAATTATATATTTTTATTAATTTTTATATATAATTTTAAATTTTTATAAAATAAAATAATTATTTTATACTTAAATCTATTTAAGTATATTAAAATTCATATTAAAATAATATAAAAAATTTAAAATTTAAAAATCATCGAATCAAATCAATAGAATTCATTTTAGATCAAATTATATAAAAATTCGATTCAAATTTAAATTAAATTGTAAAATATTATACATTATAAAAATAATTAAATCAAATTTAGTTTGACCCGAACTATTATCATCTCTAGCTTATTAGTCTTAACAACTCTATGGGCATGTAGGCAAATTAGGTTAGGTGTGTCAAGCAAAGTAAAATTGATGATTTTGGAAAGGGGAATCTCCAACAAATACAATCATAGATTTCAAAGGCAAAAGTTTCCAAAGCTACAAGCAAATTTGGTTTTCCATTATTTCCATTCAATTGGGAAGTTGGTGACCCAAGTACAAACATAAGGCATGGAATATGGTATCTGATTTCTTAAATGCATTTTACTTATTCTGTCAATAAGTTTTCCTTCACTCAAGTCATTTTCAGAGATCTTTGAAGGGAGGATTCCTATTGAGATTGCAACTTTTTTGTTAGTTATTTCTTAAAAAAACAGTAAATAACATCAGAAGATTAAATAAGATGTAAATTAAAATATATGATTACACTTATTCACAATTACAACGTATTTTTGCTTAATAATAATTTACATTATGTAAAAAAATCCATTTAAAGGTGTTTCATTATCATATCAGAGTATTTAACTCAATGCCAGTGCAGACAGTCCTTTATTCAAAAAGTTGAGGTCTAATTTTTTTATTCTCCAACAAAAATAAAAGGGTTAATTTCATTAATGAATTTTAAATTATAATAAATATTTAATTTGTACTTAAATTTAAAAATATTTAATGCAATACTCGAATTATAAATTTATTAATTAATATAATATTTAAAAATTTATTTATTCATCATATGTTATTATTTGATGTTAGTTACATTAAAAGTAAATAACATGTTAAATAACATACTCATAATTTAAATATTATAATAAAAATTTTTAAAATTTAAGTATTATATTAAATATTTTATTATAATTTAAAAGTCATTCATAATATTATTTCAAAATACAAATATGATGGCAAATGGAATATGAAATAAAGTTTCACTTAATTAGTTAATGTAATTATTTTTAAAAGACGATATCGATAAGTATAAAATTTAAATCCTATAATTTGTAATTTTTTTTATTTTTATTTTTAGACTGAATTATTTTATAAAAAAGTTAAATATGGGCCTGATCAAGGGGGCTTGAAAAGTGGAATTTTGGCCATTTCGTTTCTTCTACATGGTGAAGAACCTATTGGGGGAGCCTACCAAAAGTGCATAATACAAGTCTCCGGTAATCGCTTTGCTTCCTTCCGTGGTGATGATCAAAGTTTTCTATCTCTTTTTTTTGGCATATTTTCTTAAAAATTTTATATGAAAGTGGAATTCAAGAAGGTGCCTTTTGATGGGGTCCCTTTAATCTGACAATCATAGTTCCAGGATGTTTTGCTCATCATTTTTTTTCAAACAAAAGAGGCATAGATTTTTTTCAGGAAAGTTGAGTCACTTCGCCTTTGTTCTGTGTTACCAGGCGTAGTGAATAAGATCCTACCAAATCCTTATATTTTAACACTGTTTTATGAATCTTCTGTATAACAACCTCAGAAGAATTTTCTCTTGAAAACTTTTCTAAGCTCGTTAGGCAATTTTTTTTTTTTGGGCAGGTTATAAGGAATTTATTTATTTTTTCCTCTTCAAACTGTATCATTACTTGAAATTTTGACAAAAAGCCTAAACAGACACCAACTTTGGATCATTATGTCCATAAATAAATCTGTCCTTCACCAATGATAAAAGTATGATTCGCTTCACTACCATAAACTTTTAACCAAAATAACTAAATTCAGGGTAACCAAATAAACAAAAGTTGTAGCACGATTCAACTATTTTTTATAGTATGTGGTGGTAATTGCAGCAAAGAAACGCTAGTTTTACAGAACTTTCTTCTTTCTTTCCTTTTTTTTTCTCACTGACATTTATCTATTTGCATGTGTTTCCTAAAGATTAGAGCAAGCTCACCTTCGAATGTCATGCGATTTCCAGGTAAGCGTCTGGTTTGTAATCAGTGAGCAGGGGGTGATGAAAAGAAAATGACGATGAAATATACAAAGAACCCGGCGAGAAGAATTCCTCCATAGACAAAAGTTTGAGAAGAATGTACAGGATATTTGAATTCAATATTGCAGCATCTCATCTTCTCCCTCTCACTGGCCAAAACATTGTCAACATACCTGCATTGAACAGAATGACAAATGCCTACTCAAAATGTTGCTTATATGTGAAACACCAAAATAGAAAGAAAAAGAATGTCTAAAAGTTCACGATGCCATCCAGCTCACTTACTGCTGGGTAAACATGGTGCTTTGAAGGATGTCTGAACTATTCAAATGTGCATCTTGCAGTCGATGGTCATATAACATAGAAGAAAGATCAACAAGTTGTTCCTCAAGGTTCTGTTTTAGTCAAGGAAAGGACTAATAAATAAATAAATAAATAAATAAAAACCACACGAGTCCAATAATTCGATCAGTTAGCAAGATTCGTTGTGACTTACATCTAAGTATTTCTCTAATCGCTCAACTAATTCATGTGGGAAAGGTTCGGGCAGGTTTGTTGTTTTCTTGTAAAACTTCTCCAGCCATAGTTCAGTAGTTGACTTGTTCTTCTTTCCCTTCACAGGTTCACCAAGTGGAGTCTTTAAATATTCAGCAGCAAAAGATTGGACAGCCTGAAGAAAACAGGAAAGATTCAATAAATATCCACTGTAAGTTACCAAATTACACAAACAAGGAGTGGCTAGAGGGAGATAACATTACCTCAGATGTATCACGAATGGTTCTGAGAGCAGAATCTACACGTGCATAAATCGTGTTTCTCTGCCAACAAGATGTAATGTATTTCAGATGCCATTATCCATTAGAATCTACTTGACAACATATAGATACCTACTAGACTAGAAATCCTAGTCAAGATGTAATGTTGCTTCGACCAAATAGACATCAAGTTGCAAAGTGCAATCTTAATGCCTCAGTAGGCTTGTGTATCATGTGATACTCACAAAGAACTTTAACATGATGGAATTAGCTTACTAGTGCAACATCCTGAAGCATTCGACTGATTTGAGATGTATTTGAGAATGGACCAAACGGGTGACAACCAGCAGCCCAGAGCCAATTCACAACAGGCCTTTCATGTATATGAGAAGCCTTTTCATATGGTGCACTTAACCCACCCACAGCAGAAGCAAGCCCTGCTAAAATGTGGCGCTGTGCCTGTGATGGAATAGCATGCCTTCTCTCGGTTTCAGAAACATAACTGGCCGACAAGCCATGGCAAGGCACAAGGAAAGAATGGAAAACAAATAGAGGCGTTAGAAAGCTCCTCAGTCTAGCAAAGTCAAAAATACATAATAGAGCTCAAATTCAAAATTATAATGCAAGGATTTTTTAAAGGAATGAGGAAAAAGTTCTGCTCACCTCAGAGGTATTTTTTGACTTTGATGCTCAAGTACTATGACAACATCATTGCTGGTCCAAACAAGGCTTTCATCCTCCATCATAAGTTGTGGATCCACATCAGCCAATGATAGAACAAAGCTGCAGAAAAATAACTGATTTCTGTCTTATGAATAGCTCTAATATCTATTATACAATCTACAGAATGATCCAGGATATTATTATTTAGGGACATATTATCCAGAATATTATAACACAAATGCAAAGAGTTGATTCAAATATATACCAAAAATTTATTGTACGGTTCTTTATCATAAATTTATACAATGCTAATATGTTAATAATATGAAAATAAAAATCAGCAAAAGTGGTATTGCTTATTGAAGCAACAGCTGTTCTAATTTTGCGAAGAGCATAAAAAATTTGTATAAATACGAACCTCCAAAAACATATTACCTATACAAACTGGATGTTTCTCCAATGTTTTGTATAAAAAGATCATAAAATCAATTTTCAGGTTAATCTCCAGTACTATAAAATGGTTTAGCAGTTCGATTAAATCATGAACAAATTGCCATTAAAACAATCACGGAACCACAAGGCCACAATTTTCTTGATGCTATAACTACTTATCCATGCCTTCCAAATTCAATGCGTAGAACAAATAACTAAGGCTTTTAACTTGGCATTTTAATTCTTAAGGACTCCATTAAGTGCCAGAAGAGAACACTCAAAACTTTTCAATCTCACATAGAAGCTGCAAACACCATTTAACCCAATAAACAGAACAGCAACTACAAAATTGAAGATTATCAGGTAGGATAAAAAAAACCTGTGACGTGTTTTTTGTATTGAAATATCTTATCAGACAACTTGGGCATGATTGCTATTTACAAATGCTTGATGAGTTGGTCTACTCACACGGGAATAACTCTAGTTCCATAAGTTGGATGCAGATCCCCTTTTTTCTTCTGTTTTTTCTTTTTCTTATCCTTGCCACTTTTCGAGTTGTAAGTAGCCCATAGAGGTTTATGCTTCAGAACTGAATCAGTTGAACCCTCGGATTCATCCATCCAGTGCTGCTGAAAGTAAAATTCATGTTATGGCAACAGAGGGAAGGCAAAGAGAGGGAGAATAGCATGGGTGGAAAGAGTGTTTAACCTCAGAACCATGCAAGAGAAAAGTTTAAACTTACAAAAATTTTAGACCTACAACAAATTTATAGTTTGTTCAAACAAGTAAAAAGAATTAAGTGAATATAAACTGACCTGGCGAAGGAAAAACTTATTTGAAAGAGATGGGTCTGCCATTTCAAGCAAACCTGCAGCAAGCACATCTGAAGAGCGTTCCATCTCCTGTGATGAGCCAATAAAAAGCACATAAAATAAATATAACCATCCCTCAATATCCTAAGGAAACTTCAAGACGCAATGATAAGAACAAGTGAGCATTGCCAATAAAACGCAAATTAACTAGATATAACCACCCATCATTATCCTTAGAAAACTTACTTCAAACAGGGCAATGACAAGAAGATATCGATACATATTGATAATATCTAACATAATGAAAGTAATACTCTTAGAATAAAGATGGGCTTAAGAATGCTGAAAAAGAGGAAAACCCACTTCTTTAAGAATGGCACCATCAAGATATGTCTTGGTATGAACATGGAAGCGTCCATCCTTCTTCGTTTCTTGCAAGGAATGGCCCCGCATAGCTTTTGACACAGCAATAGCCAACTTCTCATGATGGTGCAAAGCATGTGACCCCCCAATAATCAACACTTCTTGGTCATCATGAACCAACTTCTTCACCTGAGGAAAACAAAATACCCACATATGAAACTCATTAACTTAGCTTCTTGAGCATCATGTAAAAAATAACTATAGTGCCTTCAGCAAAGCCAGAAAAATCAACCCAAGCAATTCCAGATCTGGTTGTACTCAATTCAAATTTAAAATAAAAAAAAAAAGAATTTGATCCAACTAACAAATAATGCAGAGGTATGTTTTAGATGAATGTTCTTTGCTTTTAATCAGAAGGTTTTAAAAGTAGCCTCCGGGAACTAAAGAATGTTGGAACACAATAATTGCACTGGTTATCAGTTATCTCCACTGTATAATTGACTAAAATTTATCCAGAAATTATTCAAGATAATGAGACAAGAAAAAAGGGCTAAACCCGAACTTTTCAAGCATAAGCAGATATGAAGATGCCATTCCAGATAAGTAACTTACCTCTGATTCAATTGCCTCAATATCTATGCTGTAATTATGAGCTTTTTCCATAATATTATACCGGTTATGGTTTTGGAGGACAATAACAGGTATAAGCAACCTTGTGGTCAGATCAACAGTTTCAAACCTGAGTTCACCAAGGACAAACAAATAAGCAGGCTACTGTGAAGGCATAAACCCAGTAAATAAAAATGCTAGTAAGGTACAGAAGTTGAATAGCATGATTCATAAATCATAATCAAACTATGCTTCCATCTTTAATAAGTTAAGAATCATAAAATGTATGTATTAATCACTGAACGAAGATAGTGTAAAATTACCTAACATCTGGAGCCATAACATGCTCAACTGTGGTTGCCACCAAAGCAGCAAGATGCCCCATGAAATTATCATGGGTAGTATGGTCACTAACAGAAGCCAAAGCTCTTGGAAGTAACATACTGCGTATTCGTGGCAATGTCCTTGGACTGACACTTCCTTCTTCAGTTTCAATCTTTCCGTAAGTGCAAGGGCCAGCAGAGAGGTCAATCACAACAAATCTGAACAGCAGAGGCAGAAATGAGTCCCAAAGAAAGAGAAAATCAAAAAAGGAAAAAAACAAAAGAAAGGTTACTGTAGGAAAACACTTATTTACAGCTGGTTGTAATATTGTAATCTGTATATTTATATTTGTATCTCTAGAATTAAGTATTTGTATCCCTAGAATTAAGGATAGAAAATTAGGATAAACAATCCCTTAATTAGAGGATCAGTTTTAGGAAGATTTAGTTTCCTAGTTTACCCACAAGTTAGTTGTATATAAACCTAAGGTGCTTGTATAATTCTTAATTAGCAGTTTTTCAATAGACATTCAGTTTTCCACATAGTTTTATTTCTCAGTTTTTCCACATGGTATCAAAGCTTTAGGCTCTTCTTGGAAGAAAATTTTTTTAGCCTTCATTGCTGAATTCTATTTCAAGCCTTCATAACCAAATCTTGTTAAATCTTTCAGTCTTTTTTTTTCCTTAGTTGGCCTTCATTGCCTTGAATTGTCTCTGGTTAAACCTTTACTATTAAGACTTGTTTCAGTTCCGAGAAAGATAACTATGTCAGAGATTGCAGAATTTGCCACTATTACCCAATTTAAGGAAGTGACACCTGGTAAAAACACTGGAATACTATAGAAGTCTCGGGAACAAAAAAAGTTGGATAAAGAAGATATTGAGAAATTAAGAAGCCTATTGAAAACTTTTGAAAAGCCTACTAGGGTATGTTCTTTGGGTAAGGTATCTAGTTCAAGTAAAGCTTCTGATTCTCATGGATTAAATGTCTTGGTTAAGCCTACTACAAGTTCTTGGATTATTGACTCATGAGCCACAGACCATAAAACACATTCCTCACAGAAATTTAGTACATATACTTTGTGTCCCAGTAATAAGAAAATTGTTCTTATAGATGGTTCACTTACTATACTGGCAAGATTAGGAGATGTTCAAATTAATCCCTTGTTTGTTCTTAAAAATGTTCTTCATGTTCCTAGATTGTTTACTAATATGATATCTATACAAAAACTTACCAGAGACATAAATTGCAAAGTGACTTTTTATCCCTTTTATTCTGAATTTCAGAACCAGAGTTTGGGGAAGAGGATTGGACTTGCTCAGTAGAATGATAGACTATACCATCTTGAGACATCAAACAATACAAGTAATATCAAGAATAGTTTACCTTTGTCATTTTTTTTTTTTTTGAAAAATCTCTCAATAAAGACAAAATCTAGCTTTATCATTTTTATCTTGGACATTGTTCTTTTGGAACTTTGAAAAACGTGTTTCCTTCTTTGTTCAAAGGATTAAATGCTGAAAATTTTCATTGTGATGTTTGTGAGCTTGCAAAGAATAGACGTGTGTCTTTTCCAGTTAGCAATAAAAAAAGTTCTACTCCTTTTTATTTGATTCATAGTGACATATATGGTCCATTTACAATTCCTAATTTTTTTGTGCAAGGTGATTTGTTTCTTTCATAGATGATTGTACCAGGATCTATTGGATATTTTTACTTATATCCAAATCAGATGTGAATAGTGTGTTTTTAAGCTTCCAAAACATGATCCAAAATCAATTTAGAGTGAAAATCAAAATATTTAGGTCTAATAATACAAGAGACTATTTCAACAAAAGTTTATCTACCTATTTCCAAAAAAAAGGGATTATCTCTGAGTCATTTTGTGTTAATACTCCATAGCATAATGGAGTGACAGACAGGAAAAACAATCATTTACTAGCCACAACCCGAGCTTTACTTTTTCAAGCAAACGTACCCAAATCCTACAAGAAAGAAGTTATTCTCACTGCCACACATATTATAAATAGGTTACCTTCAAGGGTTTTGAGATTTAAAACTCCTATGGAACTACTCTCACAATTCTATTCAAACTTTAGCACCACAAACAACCTCACACCTAGGATATTTGGTTGTACATCATTTGTTCATGTTCACAGTCATAATAGGGGGAAGTTGGATCCTAGAGCAATTAAGTGCATTTTTGTGGGGTATTCATCAACTCAGAAAGGGTACAAATGCTATCATCCTCCTGTCAAAAAATTCTGTGTCTGCAGATGTCACTTTTGAAGAAAGTAAACCATTTTTTACTCAACCTTATCTTCAGAGAGAGACTTCATTCATGGAAGATAAGGATAAAGACTTTTTTTTGCTTGATTTGTCCTCTTCAACATTTTCACCCATTAATTCTTCTGAGTCTAAACTCGTTTCTTCTGAGTTCAAGTCAAATACTGAATTTGAGTTTGAACCCATTCTAAACACAGAAGATGTGATCAAGGATAATATTGTTCTTGATTCTATGAAGGAATTATAGGTGTACTCAAGAAGGAAAGTTCCAGATCTTGAAACAGTGCAAGTCCAAGAACTTGATCCTAACTACGGAAATGAGGTAACTATAGTCTTTGACTCTGTTTCTCAAAATGAGCATGAATCTCTTAAAACTATGACTAGTGATTACGATCTACCTATTGCCATTAGGAAAGGAACCGGAGAATGTACTAAGTATCCACTATACCCAATCTCTAATTTTGTGTCATTTGAAAAATTCTCATCACCCCACAAAACTTTCCTTATGAGCCTAAACACTATTCCTATTCGAGGCATTGTCCAGTGAGAAATGGAGGCAAGCCATGAAAATAGAAATGGAGGCCTTAGAGAAAAATAAGACATAGGAACTAGTAGAGTTGCCTAAAGGAAAAAATCTAGTTTGATGTAAATGGGTTTTCATTGTAAAATACAAGGTGGATTGTACTGTTGAAAGACATAAAACTGGGTTGGTGGCTAAGGCTACACTCAAACTTATGGAGCGGATTATTAGGAAACTTTTGCTCCAGTTGCCAAGATGAATACAAGTAGGATTTTGTTATCATTGGCTGCAAATTACAATTGGCAGCTTCAACAATTTGATGTAAAGAATGCTTTTCTACATGGTGATTTGGAAAAAGAAATATATATGAAGGTTCCATCGGGGTTTGGAGGTCATCCAGAAGCAAACAAAGTACACAAGCTGAAAAAGGCATTATGTGGCCTTAAATAGTCTCCTAGGGTTTGGTTTGGGAGATTTGCCAAAGTGATGCTAGCAATGGAATATAAGCAGAGTCAAGGGGATCACACATTGTTTATCAAGTACTCTAATTTAGGGAGAGTCATAGTTCTATTAGTGTATATTGATGATATAATTTTAATCAGAGATAATGACAAAGAGAAAGAATCTCTAAAACAGTGTTTGGCTAGAAAATTTGAGATAAAAGAGCTAGGGAGATTGAAGTACTTCCTAGGAATTGAAGTAGCCCACTTGTGGCATGGTATTTTAATCTCACAAAAGAAATATGTAATGGATCTTTTGAAGGAAACTGGGATGCTTGCATGTAAACCTGCAAATACCCCTATAGATCCTAATCATAAACTTAGATAACCTAATGAAGATGCTATTATAGATAGAGAGATGTACCAAAGATTAATTGGAAGACTCATTTATCTTTCACATACTAGACCTAATATAGCATATGCTATGAGTGTGATAAGTCAATTTATGCATAATCCTAAAGAAGTGCACCTATAGACTGTCTACTGTGTGTTGCACTATTTGAAGGCTAATCCTGGGAAAGGTATCTTATTCAAAAAAAATTCAAGGTTGGTTCTAAAAGCATATACAGATGTAGATTATGCAGGTTCAATAACTGATAGAAGATTATGCAGGTTCAATAACTGATAGAAGATTATGCAGGTTCAATAACTGATAGAACCAAGGGTCAACTTGCAAATGTATTGACTAAAGGTCTCAACAGTGCAACATTTCAAGAAATTATTTTCAAGTTGGGAATGGAAAACACCTATTCACCAACTTGATGGAGAGTGTGGTAAAACACTTATTTACAGCTGGTTGTAATATTGTAATTTGTATATTTATATTTGTATCTCTAGAATTAAGTATTTGTATCCCTAGAATTAAGGACAAAAAATTAGAATAGACAATTCCTCAATTAGAGGATCGGTTTTAAGAAGATTCAGTTTCCTAGTTTACTCACTAACTAGTTGTATATAAACCTAAGGTGTTTGTATAGTTCTTAATAAGCAGTTTTTCACACAGTTTTATTTCTTAATTTTTCCATAGTTACACAATAGCTGATTGAGAAGTCAAATTTATGCTATCAAATATCTTCTTAACATTTCTTACCTAGCAGTTCTTACTCAAAAGTCCATATATCAGAAACTCAAAAGTTAAACTTCTTTTGATGAAGTAATGCAATTAAAAACAGACCTTCCAGAGCCCAGCCAAACTTGAGACGCTCCTCCTCCATTATATCGATATCTATAAATGTAGTCTCCCTCTTGTTTTTTCATATCTTCATCAGTCAGCGGCGTAAGTTTGCCAAACATCAAACTATCAAGATCAACCTCCTTATTCCTAGGATCCATTCTGACCTAAAAAAGAGGCAGAATCATTCACCATTGCATCAAAAAAGAAAAATTCAAAACTATGCATACTTGAAAGAAAAAACTAAATTGCTAGGAATAATCAGAAACACGGGTTTCTAGAATTTGTTTAAACTTTTCAGAAATGTGAGATGGACCAAAAATAGTATCAGTATCAGCAAACTTTCGTACAGATAAAGCACAGAATTTGAAATTTGAAAATTAGAGTTATATACCTTGTCAAAGTTAACAATAAATATAGCAGTTGGTGCAGGTCTATCCATTTCTTTAGCAGAATATCCCTCAGTTTCGATGTCAAATAAATATGAATATAGCTTTTGGAATATTGGCTCTACAGCTGTTGCATCCACCTCAAATAGGGGCACCTCTCTTCCAAAATCAAACTAAGATGTAAAAAAGGAAATTTAGATCTTCATTTCTAAAAGATTCAATATACTTAATATTCCTTTCCCTAATCAAGAGTAATAGTAAATTATGAAGTAATGTGGTAAACCTCTCTTGCAGAACCAGCAGGAACCATGGCCTCCTTAAGTGCCTTCTCAAGCGCAATCAATTCAGGCTGTCCTGCCTAGAGTACAAAACATATGTGAACAACATTAGCAACTCAGTTAGATCTCTAGCTGAAGCTTAAACCAGTAGCAATTCTTAAGATGCAATAAGGAATGAAAAAGCTTACAGGAAATGTGTTATAAACAAGATGATGTTCTATATCAAGGGGCTCCTCAGTCTCAAGACACGAAGGTCTATGAGAGGGAAAGCTCATTCTCAGAAACTCCTCCAATTTCGGTGCATCAACAGCGTACCGATAGCCACCATCTCCATTGAGACCAACTAGCACAACATTCACTTCCAGTGGAACCTGAAAGGGAACCTGCACAAGAAAACCTATTCTAATCATAACCAGAGATGAGGAAAACCAACCTAACAGTCACTACATCTTCAAGTTTCTATAAATTTCTAGAACGCAATTCAAAATTTTAATTACAGTTTAGCAGAGATCAACTAAGTAGCTCAAACTCAGTCATTTCGAGTCCTATAATTTTCACAACTTCATCGTTCCAAAAAAATCAATAAAACTAACCTAACAGTCACTACATCTTCAAATTTCTAGAGATTTCTTGAACAGAATTCAAAATTTTAATTACATTTTAGCAGAGACCAACTATGTAGCTCAAACTCAGTCATTTCGAGTCCTATAACCTAACAGTCACTGCAACTTCGAGTTTCTAGAGATTTCTAGAATGCAATTCAAATTTTTAATTACATTTTAGCAGAGATCAACTATGTAGCTCAAACTCAGTCATTTCAAGTCCTATAACCTAACAGTCACTGCATCTTCAAGTTTCTAGAGGTTTCTAGAGATTTCTAGAACGCAATTCAAATTTTTAATTACATTTCAACTATGTAGCACAAAGTCAGTCATTTCGAGTCCTATAATTTTCACAACTTCAACATTCTAAAATAATCAATAAAATTAACCTAACAGTCACTACATCTTCAAGTTTCTAGAGATTTCTAGAACGCAAATCAAATTTTTAATTACATTTTAGCAGAGATAAACTATGTGGCTCAAACTAAGTCATTTCAAGTCCTATAATTTTTGCAACTTCAACGTTCTAAAAGAATCAATGAAACGAAAACCGCTCGATGATTACAGGAAAAAAGAAGAGAATTGGAGTGGAAAAAGTCGATATTAATTTCTTTAGTGATTTAATAAGATTTTTAGAGCGAGAATCGGATACCTCGGCACGCGTGTGGAGCGTGCGGCGAACATCGGATCGGACGCTGTCGCGGACGTCGAGGAAGGCGCTGTGATGCCAGTGAGGGTGACCGGGATCTCTCTTGAATGCTTGTTGAGCAGACTCGGAGTGAGTTGCGAGACCACTCAATGCGACCAGAAGTAGCGTGTAGGGTAAAATAGACGGTAACCTTGATCTTGATTCCATTAGCTACAATTTCAGAAATAAAGAGACAACAAATAGTGAAATACTACTAGTTAATTTTCAATGAGCTAAAGCTTTGTAGCCATGGTCAGAATAGTGAAAATCGAAGAGAGTTTTTTGGTTTGGTTACGGTGACCGGCGATGACTCGCGCTAGACTGAATCGTGAATGAATTTCCATTTTCCATAATGGTCCCTGCTTTTGTGGATAAATTACGAGTTGTCCTCGAAATATGTTGTGATCTGATGGGCGTTAATGGGCCTTCTAATTTGGGCAAATGGATTTTCAACTTGGTGCAGCCCATCCCATAGAAAATACTCCTTTGGTTCCTATTTATTTGTTTTGCATCAACTTCTACTGAGTTGAAAAAAAAAATCGATTTTAATATATTTAATATTAAAATTAATTTTTTATAAAATTAAACTTATATGATTTTTAATGTTAAAACGTAAAAAAAATCATAAAAAATAATTTTAAAATATAAAAATAAGAATTTTAAATGTTTAAAAAACCAAATAAGATATAATCTTGATACATTCCAAAAATAAAATGGATAAAAAAATGGGAAGAGGGCGTAACTATTTGTCTTTCTATTGTTATTCTTTTAAGGGATAATACATAACATGACCCCTAAATTGTAATAATTTTTTTAATGTGGTATCTAAATTAAAAAAATTTAATCAAACATTTAAACTTTAATTTCATATATTAAATTGCTCCAACTCCTTAATAGGTTAGAATGATACTGATTTGATATTTAAATATTGAAATTAATAACACATAATTGTCACGTGACAATGATGAAACTGTCATATATTATTTTTAAAAAATAAAAATAATTTAAAAAAAAATTATATGTGTCAATCATATTTAGATTATATGACAATCATGAGTCATCCACATTAGTATTTAAATACTACGTTAATAATATTTTAACAGTGTTAAAAGTAAGACAATTTAATATAAAAAAATATAGTTTAGATAATTAAATTTTCTTGTAAGTACTTAACGTAAAAAGTGCAATAATTTAGAGGTCAAATGAAGTATTATCTCTTGTTTTAATTAAAAAAGAGATCTTTGCCAACAATTAGTGATTAGTGATATGTTGATAAGTTATTAATCAAATATATATATATATATATATGTTCATTCAAACATGTTGATATGCAGACACTTGATCTTTTTAACCTAGTAAAATGCAGAGACGGAGTCAAGTGATGTTCACTAGTTGTGCTAAACATTGCTGCAAATCTTGACTTGTTTGCTTGCCATTTGAACGTTGCAACCAAAGCTTTGAGCAGTGACCCAAAGACACTATATTATTACTAAGCATGAATTACTTGATCGCATGATGCCATTGGAAGGCAAAGATGACATTCATTTAATTAGACCGAGGAATTACATAGGATTTGCAGTAAAAGCTGGTTATACTCTTTAATATTTTACAAATTTGAATCCTCTTAAAGCAACTGCTCTCTGCTACCCCAATATCCGAGGACAGGCGAAGGCAGAAAATTGATAAAGGAGGGACTAGATAATAATTTAGTGTCGATAAAACTCGACTAGAAGCATTTGGGTTTGTGAATCAGTGGATGGTAACTGAGAAAGAGTAGTTTAGCTGGCTGAATAAAAGAAGGAACAGAAGTGGGGAAGATTCTAAAGGCTGCAGAGAGGGAGCTAACAACAAATTGTCAACCATGGAATGCAATGACATCAAGAAGAGGCCTAATCAAGTTCAGAAAATTGAAGGTCATCTACTGCCTCCATCAAAATGGCGTGAAAATAATTTTACCTTCAATAATTATCGAAATAAGGACAAAATCTTACTGCATGTGGATAACTCTATCAGAAATAAAAGCATAAATAATATAGGCATGTTCATTGGTTCAGGAAGTCTAAATTTTCCCTTAATTGGTTCCCTGTTTCGTATAAACATAGATCTAGAAACCTGCATCAATACAAACATGAAATTGAAGACATGACATTATGATTTACCGAGTATGATTATGAAATTGAGAAATAGGTTAGTGAATTGAATTTTATAAGAGATTTGTTTGGAATTGATTAGATATTATTTAATGGATAAAAAGACTTACAGAAGAGGAATTTTAAGAGAAAATGAATTCTTAATAGATAAGTTTATATGTTTATAAATAGATGAAATACGAGAAAAAAAAATAAAGGAGTCGTAAGATTTTATGAGATAAATAATTCATAGAATTATTGGAGATTTACGTCCAATGAGTGTATATATTTGAATATTTGTAAGTAGATTAGAGGAGATTGAAATATTTCATGTGTATATGGATATATATGTTTGTGAATGGATTAGAAAAACTGAAATGATCCGCATTGTTATAGTGCCTAGGTACATATAGTTATGTGTTTGTTTGAGTTAGAATATTCTATAAAATTAAAAGAGATTGAAAATGTTTATCGGTATTGGTTCTGAATGATTGGTTTGATATTTATTTATAATTCTCTACAACTAGTAAATATTTTTTTTCATTCTTAGATATAGGTCGGTTAAATTGAATCACATTAAATTATTATTTTTTATGTGTTTGATTAATTATTTGATTTCACTTCCGTTAACATGATTGGATTGAAATTATTTAACCTAACAGCTGATATATCTAATCAGTTCTCAAAGACGCATGAAAATGGAAGCAACCAAGAATAAGAATTCATTGATTTTAGTTGATTCAACTGTGGTTTTTGCAAAGACATTCTTGTCTAGGATAATTGTACCCCATGGCTAGACAGATTGGAGCTACGAAAATCGATCCATGGTAAGAAATTCCGCCTTGTTATTCATGTAAAATTTATGCTTCACTTTCTCTTTCCTTGTTCACAGGCAGCTCCATCTTCTCTTGTCTGATCCAAGCCTGTTTTATGAATGTAAACAGTGACCAGGATCTGAAACAAATGCGCGAGTTCCTTGGGCAAAACAACTGACAGAAAAGGAAGCTGCGTGCTATTGATTTTATAAATGGCAAGCATTGGCTGCCAGTATGGCTATGAACTTAAATTGCTGTAGTTCCATAAATGAGAGCTTTCACGATCCTTGTGGCATTTGACTGTCCCCAGGCTTCCCTACCTGCTGAAGTTGGCTGGTTTCATGCATAGTCTGGCCTGTAGGCCTTAAGCTCAGATGGAAACAGACGTTATAAGCTACTTTTTCTCTCCATATGAATGATATTTGCATCCAGGGAAAGATTTATTAGGCCCAAAGTGTTGATAAGATCTATGATGGATGGGCAATTTAAACCCGCAATGTGCAATTTATCTAAGTTCATTCCTATAATTACATTTAAAAGATCACATAGAACATTCTTTTTTTTTTTTATTCTCAAATATAGCATTAATTAATTATAATTTATCTCCCGCTAAGTCGGGTAATTTTTTTGGTCAATTTTTATTTTTAATATATTTATGATTATATAATATAACAATAATAAGAAAATTTAATCCGCACATTAAATATTATAAAATTTTAAAATTTTAAATAATTAATTGATTTTGGATTTAAAAAAAAAACGCAGAAATCATTAAAAAATAATATTGAATGTGTTTAATTTGGGCCAACTTGCTAATGATCTGTGAGATTTTGGCCAATGGGCTACATGTCTTTTCTTTAATCTAAGCAGGCCCAAATTTTTATTCAAAATGGGCCTAATAACCCAATTGGAGTTGTAAATTTGGGACAATCTAGCTTCATTGGACCAATTTTTTATTTAAAATATGGGCCTTAAGAAACCCACGACATTGATGATTTCACTGTCTCCGTCTTTGTTCTTGAACTGAAATTCAGGTCGATCCGAACTGGAACAACATTAGGGTTTTAGCTTTGGAAGCTTCTTCTGTCTGGTCTCCCTTACCCTATTAGTAAGCAAAAGCATCAGCTTAGGAAGAAGCAAACGATGGAAGCTGGAGATGGAGGCGTTGACAGAGTCGTTGACTCTAAGGATTTGCAGCAACAGAGCAAAGCCTTCGACAAACTCACCGACCGTGTCGAAGATCGCCAGCTTGATTCTTCTCGCGCCAAATCGGTCCTCTTTCTATCAAAATTTACTTTCTTTATTTGTAGAATTGCTAGTAAAAAAAGAGAGGGTAATTTAGTCCTTTTCTTAGCTCATGGGTTTGTTGTTGACGTGGCAGGCCATGGCATCAATTGCAGCTTCAGCTGAAGCGGAAAAGAATGCTATGAGATTGAGGTTTGGTTTATGTTTTCTTTTATAATTTTATTTCTGTAGTTTTCTGGTAAGAGAAAGCTTGATTTTTGTTTGAATTGGAATTGATTCTTGAATCTTGACTATTTAAATTGAATTTTAGTTCCAATTAGGCGCCTCTTTTGGTATGTTTTGTTGGATTTTGAGATTTTGTTATGGCAGGGGAGACGATTGCTTTTCTTGAAAAACTCAGTTTGATTGGACTGGAATCTGTAGAATTTGAGTTTGCTTTATGTTGTTTCATTATGTTTCATCAATGTTTCATCTGATGTCATTATGTTTCATAAATGCGTGATAATGTTCCGGACATGCTATGAGTTTTAGTTAGCAAAGGGTGTTATACTGTTATTTCCATTAATTGGTATTATGGGAAGGAAATGCTAGTTTCCTAAAATTATCAAAAGCTTTGTATGTGGTAATTTGAGGTAATGGGATAACTTAAAGAATTCTATGGGTACTATTAAAACACGGAAGGGGCCTTATCCTTTTAGTCGATGCTTAAGTATGCATGAATCGATAAGCAAGATTTTTAGCCTGCTAAAAGCTCGTAATCTAATATGCTTCTAATGACATCAGATTGAATGCTGTTGAGATTGATATCACGCAGTATTAATCGCTGTCAACTGGATAATGGTAGTAGATTTCTGTTTATAATCCTTTTATTCTTCCTTGGCCATTTTATTAGGGATCCCCTAAATATGATTGCAGTATCATAATTTGTAGGCCTTTTGAAATGTAAGATTCGATGTTGTAGTTTTTCAATTTCTAAACTCTCACCTGCTTTTTAATTACTCGGTCATCCTAATGTGGACTGCAGCATGAACTCTTTCTCAATTCGCTTCCTCGAGTAATCCAGTTTCTTGTTTGACTTACAGATTTTTTGAATTTGTGCTCAATGCTTATTTGTAGCGAATGTTACATTTTTGTTCCATACAGAGAGAAAGAATTAGCTGCTGTAAAGATCAATGCGGCTGATGTGGATATCATCGCAAACGAACTAGAGGTTGGCTTCCTTATGCTGTGCTTTTAATGTCTCTTATCTTGTGTCTAAGTACTATGCCAAAGATTCTAATACATTTTTATCTTTTCCACTGGAAAAAGTTGGACAAAAAGGTGGCTGAGAGAACTCTTCGTGAGCATAAGGGTGATGCTGTTGCTGCTATTCGATCCTTGCTTAACTAAACCGAGTTGGTGAGCCAAATTGTTTTTTCTAAAGTTTTTGACAAAACCATTTGTAAGATGGAGGTCATTTGAAATGTCAACATGAATAGCTTCAGCACAGTCATCATCAGTGTAAACCATTCCGTTTTAACAATGCCGGCAGCTATGATTATTGATTTCCTATCTGGATGTTTTACTGTTATAGTTTTACATGTATGTTCTAACTTCATTTTCTTGCATTCAATATGAACAACATAAGTGACTTCAAAATGTGGGAAAAGAAATTTTCTCATTTGAACCCAGCATTAGAAAGGTCTCGATCTTCTTGTAAGCTATCATGAAGCTTTTAAAGTATGCATGTCTTGATTTGCTGATCACGCATGGCAAGCTATAGGGCATGTTCAATGCAGCTCCAACTTGATTAGACATGAAAGATCCAAAACCTAGGAATCTGGTGTGCTTTGAGTTTTCATGTTTCACATTGATGTGTAGTTGCATGTATAATCATATGAACATTTGGTTCCAATGTTGGCTCGATGGAGATGGATAGCTTGTTTGTTTTTGCGTCAGCCGCCAGGCCTAGTGCCATATCCACTTCCAATGTTGTGGAACCTCCACAATTGTCGTAAAAAGATGCATTTCCCAATAGTCTACGACCTCAACCTCATTGCTGCTTGCAGCTAGGAACGATATCGGTCCATTTGATTGGGTTTTTTCAAATAATATATAATATTATAAATTTTTAAAATTTGATTCGAATTTAAATTAATTTTTTATTTTTGAAATGATTGAATCAAATTTTATTTATTCAATCTAGTTTATTGGTTTTTAAATTTTAAATTTTAATGTTATTTTAATCAAAATTTTAATATATTTAAATAAATTTATATATAAAATAATTATTTTATTTTATAAAAATTTAAAAAATATATAATTTATTTTTTTATTTTTTTACTTTGATCTAAAACTTAATTTGAATTAAATCAAATATTATAATTTTAAATCAAGTTTTTATTTTTATTTTTTTCTCACCTTCAATCGCAATCATAATCTTTGGTAGAAGAAATGGAAGTGGAGAAAATTGTAAAGGACAAAATAGGATGAAAAAGGAAAAGGATAATGGCAAAAATAATGGGGTAGAAACGATTTCTTTGTCTTTTTCTGACTTACAGATGATGTTGACTCTAATCCTACTCACATATCCAACATTCAAGCCCAACACCAACTCTTTACAATGAGTTGTTTCCTAACCACTAAAGTCCGAGGCTTTCAACAAAATAAAATAATAACTTGACCTTTTTTTTCCTCCAATGAAGACAACTTTAGGTAAACCTTTATTCTTTAGTCTTAATATTTTCTGTCCACCAAGACAAGATGTTGGCTGGCAAAACTTGAGTGACCATTTTGTGTTTAACTGTCATTCAAATCAGAAACCAAGACGATAAATATGGAACACTCACAGCGTTTCCATGCAGACATGAAAATCTTTACGAAATAAGAGACCTAGTAACTATTGAAGTAACAAGGCATTCCCATTATAAGTTGGTATGTAAGAAACAAAGCAAGACAAGACATTGATCTCACTCTGTTTACTCCAATGCAGATTGTGTATTATGTACAACTTTACTTAGTGGTCCTGACATGCTCTCATTTAAAAATTGCAGGTGACATGATCCCAACAACACTCTAATCACACAGCACCACTGATAGATTTTCGAAGATTATTATGTCATAATATAACAAACATCTCACAACCAACCAATCACCGTCAAACTTGGGCAGGTCACATACTGCCTCCTTTTGTCTTTCTATGTCTGGCCTGAGCTTTTGATTCCAATGCCACAAGTCAAAGTGGCAATTTTGTGGTAACCATCAGCCTAACAGCAATGGACGTGTAATCGTTTGCAAAAAAACTGCCCATGGTTCTACAGCTTTTGCAAAAATGGAACCAAAAACACACACATTTGATTCATGATTCCTTTTGAGAGCCATCTCCAGATGAGTTACGGGCTTGCTGAAATTGGATGGTATATTGTCTTTGAAGATCTCTAAGCTTGTCCAGTAGTTCCTGGAACGTTGGCCGGTACTGTGGATCACTGGTTTTGGAAAAGTTTTAGCTCCATATATCAGACCACAATTGCAAATTGTATCATAATTGGAAATTATAATCACTAAAAGAGAGGGAGAAAAAAAAATTGGCTTTACTTCTGAAGATAATTGGCTCTTACTCTTACTTATTAACTAAAGAACTACCTAAGACGATGACCTAAATGGTACTTAAATAATTCAGGCCATCATGATGATTGCAAATGGAATTGTGGAGTCCAATTCTGTACTATTTGTGGATGTAAATTTAATCATGCGTTCAGAGAATAATATATGTACCTAATTTGATTAACATAATGCCATGCTTGAAACTCCTAAATGACACTTGGTCCATCATATTGAGTTATGTACTGGTGGTACACACTACAGCTAAAATTTTAGCGGTGGATCTACAAAACAAAAGAAAACATGCAAATATTTTTAGGCAATAAGCACCTGTGCCAGCAACTCTCCATTATAGAAGCCCACCGTGGATCTATTTCCTTTGGAATCTCTAGCCGTTGGTTCATGAACCCTACGGCTCCAATCACCTGCAAATATTCTAAACAAATTGGTGTTCATACATACAGAGCTACAAGACTAGCAAATTTCAATAATTTCTAAAGGAGTATTCCACTCAAACCTATTCACATCTTGCCAGGAAACATTTTTTACAGTAGAGAACAGGGGGTTCCGACAGAGGACCTTCTGTTTAGAAGAGAGCAGTTGGTTTGATGATTTTCTACTCTTCATATGAGAATGACTTAAATCCTTTTAATGAGAACTATACCTGCATTGAGTTGAGATTATCCCAAGGTATCTTCTCGGTAGCAAGCTCCCATAATATGACTCCAAAACTATAAACATCGGACCTAAGCATTTCCCAGAAACAACAAGAAACACAAGGTTAGCAGTGAGCGAAAAGCTGAATGTCATGGAGCTGGGGCATGGGGGATTTGTTATGCGCAAGTGAAAAAGAGAGGAAAGGGAGCAACATACTTCTCATCTGAGGGTTCATTACGAAGAACTTCCGGCGCCATCCATTGAGGCTAAAAAAAGACAACTTATAAGTCAACAAAGAATCTAGATAGTTATGCATCCTCACAAAATGATTTAGACTCATTAGATTAATATTGATGAAGCAAATACCGTTCCTTTCCCAGTCTTCGTAGTGAGATATGTTTCGTGCTTGAGACGCGACAAACCAAAATCACCAACCTGTTAAAATAGAATTATGTTACTTTTTACCTAAAGTAAACAAAAAAAGTATCCTCAAAACCCTTAAGTTAACTAAAACTGGATATGCAAATAAAAAAGATGCACATAACTAATGGCAAACCTTCACAGTCCAATTCTTATCAACTAGGAGATTTGAAGATTTCAAATCACGATGAATGATAGGTGGATTGAAATGGTGAAGATAATTCATGCCTCGTGCCTGTAAAAGTTCAGTCAATAAGATGAATTAACAGGGAAGGGCTACTCCAGCGATGCAAGCAAGAATGAAATAAAAACAAAGTCCAACCAATGCATGATGGCACAACATTCATAATAACCAGAGAATCATCATGAAATTGAAAAAAAAAATTTCCAAACTACTTGATACTCACAATATCTAAAGCCATATGAACACGCCGTCTCCAATCTAATTTGGTAGTATTCCTCTGTAGTAAGCGAAACAAACTCCCACTGCATCAATAAAATATAAATATAAGCATTCATCAAACCAAGAAGTAAACTAAACTTGAATTAAATCAACAAAACTACTGTCCCACAGAGCAATAGATATGCAATGTGAAAGTTACAAAAAAGAGTGTCAGCAAAAATAGAATTAAAAAAGGAGGTTGAGATCGAACCGTGGAAGGAACTCTGTAACAATGCAAAGACGTTGAGGTGAAGTCACAGCTCCCATGAACAGCAGAACATTTGGATGCCGAAGTCTTTTCATCAGAGATACCTATAGTGAGAGCCGCGTTTGAAACAGGAAGAAAGAAACCCAAAACAATAACAATTGCAATTTCGGTCAGTTGGTCAATGCAAAGGAAGGATGGGGCATTTATTACATGATTGTACAATTAACACCAAAGAAAAAGAAAAACATATGATCAAGTATGTAAATACACCGAAAAGTAATTTAACAATAAAGCATACCTCCTGTCTAAAGGCATGTATCACATCATCTGAATATTCCTGCTTTGAGAATACCTTGATAGCAACATCCTGCAATAACCTGAATATGGTGATTTACACAAATAATAAGATGATTACAATTTTTCTCATGCTCCTACCATTTGCCATTTAATACCAATAAATAACTGAAGAGTACAAGGATTCAAGTATTGCAATGACGCCATCACTTCCATGAACTGGAATTGACCACAAGTATGACATAAGATCCTCATATGGATTCTGGGTATTTCATATTGCACTCTGTCTATATTAGACTTAGGCATCCTATAAATGAACATATATCACAAAATACCATATAGAAGTAGAACATTGGCTGATGGGAAACCATGCCACCATCTTTCCATTTTATGCAAACTCTATTTAAATGTGTAAATATGGATAGATGGAAAAAGCCAGGGCAGCAGTGATCCATCTTATTCCAAAATTTTAAGTCAGATTCATTTATAATGTGTTTTGCATCCCCTCAAAAGTAAAAGCACTGAAGGGAGCAGGAGAACGTACCGATCCATACCACAGAGCATGATACACAGTTCCACAAGAACCTGCAAGGAACGTAAATATTAAAACAATACGTATCCAAGAAAAACACCCTAACTAATAAAAACACTAGAATAGAAACAAAGAAAAACATTGACAGAGTGTTGAGTCAATGACCAAGTTCTCAGCTGTTGACATGATTGCTGGGGTTTCATTCATGTGCTTTGATATTACCCACATTAAAAAGGATTAAGAGAGTAGAATCAGTGTAAAGTTTAATGCATAAAGTAGTGGCTCCAGTTATTAACAAGTTCATAATGCCTCCACGTCTTCCAGTTGCTGTTCACTCACTCAAAAGAAATTACCTTGCCCAATTTGTTCTCCGATTGTCAAGTCTTCCCACAAGATTTCGTAATCTAAACAATCAGTGTCCATGTCAACTCTATTAACAGCACTACTGCTGGTACTCCCGCAGCTGCTGGCACTGCTTGTGCTGTTAACATTAACAGAGGATGACCAGGAACCTGATGCCTCATTATTGACAGGTCTATTACTTTCATTAACATGGCCTTCAGATTTTGTACCAGAATATGGGCTCTTCTGTTGAATTGCTTCATTCTCTTGATCATTACCCAACCAAGGCCACACAAAACGTGTAGCCCTTGCCTCTGATCCTTCTCGATCATTCCCTTTCCAAGGCCATGATATCCCTTTCTTACCCATTAAGGTCATAATCTTTTGGATTGCAGGTTTTCCTTCACTCTCATCGCCAGAATCTCTAGAGGGTTTTACTGTGGTCTTCTCCTCGAAAGGAGAAAATACACCAAAGGCAGATGGGTATATATCTCCCCTAGGTGTACTGGCTCCACTAGAAGTTGCATCTTCTTTATGATCGGAGAGAGCTGCATCAGAGAAACCGTGATCAGAATGATGACTATCTCCACTTCCCACTTCCCGATCAGCACAATTCTCTCCTGTCCTAATTCTGGACTTAACTTTGTTGCTCACTTTGGTTGCCTGCGTTGGTAACTCTTAACAATCAACCCAAGCCAAACTACAATTAAAAAAAATAAAAATCCAACCACAACACATACAAAAATTAAGGAACTAATACCAAATTTGTTATTTTCGAAGCAATTGCTGCTTGCAAAGGCTGCTGAGGATCAAGACCAAGTTTAGCAGAAACAGCAGTTTTAGACCAGCTAAAGGTTGAATCTCCTTCTGGTTGCCTTTCAGCGGACAAAGCAACTCTCATTTCTTCAAAAGGACGCGAATCACAGGATACACAAATGATTCCAATCAAAGAATCATCATCATCATAAAAAGGCGTATTAGTTGCAACAACCAAAAACCTATCCCCCATTTTATTCTTAAGAGGAAATTGTCCAGTCCACCTCTCTCCCATCATAACACGATGAACTATATTATGCGCAACCGCAAAGTCCCTAGGATCAACAAGAAATTCAATGGCATCTTGCCCTAACGCCTCTGCTGCTGAATAACCATAAAGCTTTTCAGCAGTTCGGTTCCTGCAAAAAAGCTAAAAACTAATAAAAAAAAAAAAAACCCCAATGCAAAAATGACATTGACAATGCAAATTATATACTAATAAACAAGATTAAAGCACATCATTAATCAATAATTTAGAAAATAAAAACATGAACTTTGCAACCGATTAATCGAAAAAATAAAAGAAACCCTTCTGCCTTTACCAATAAATTATACGGCCACTAAGATCAAATATATGAACAGATTGTCCCATAGACTGTAATATATTTAAATACTGGCCGTTAGTAAAATTAACGGCGGCTGGCCCGATATTCCCGGTTTTTCCTCCTCCTCCGCCTCTGCCGCCGCCATTTACGGTGTCACAGCTTTTGGTCTCCCTTTGCAACGGCGACGAATGCCGAAACGAACCTGAACCTTTCTTCCAAGCAGAAGCCGTCGGCGCCGCGGCGTTCCCCGGGAATCGTGGGCGTTGAGGGGAAGTAGAGTGGGATCTTTGACGAGTAGAGTCAGGCTTTGACTCGCCACCGGATTGTTTTAACCTTGACATTTCTTGCTTGAGATGCGCATGTCCCACTTCCAGTTCTTGAATCTTCCTCAAAAGCTCCTCCGCTGGAGGCGTCTCCATTTTCGCTTCCTTCTCCTTCACCAATCAAATTCAAAGCATGGGGGCTTCAAAGCTTTGATAAGATACGTAGATTCATCAACTCTCTCTCTCTCTCTCTCTCTCTCTCTGTCTTTCTCTAGAAGCTCTTCTCTTAAGAGGTCAAGACTCAGAGACTCTCTTAACTTTTTCTTTCTCTTTTTTTTTTTTTCGTTTCTCTGCTTTTCTCTCGGTTTCCGGCGGTTCCTGTTTCGTGTTTTTTTTTTATTTCATCGTTATCATATGAACCTAAACTACATGTAGACCATATGTTTAAATAGAGGAAGGACCATGGTAGATTTCCCACGCGCTAACAACTCCCGTGGTTTGTATTAGCCTATCAAAGTGACTGATTTTTACCTTACGGTCCAATCCATGTTGCGCGTTGCCGTAATCGCCAACTGCGGACTTCTCCTTTTTTGGGAATGGATTTCGGCTTCCACTGTTCAGGTCAAGGGTTTGAAAAGCCTACTTCCACTCTCACTGTTTTTGATACTTCCAATCCACAATTTTTTTGGTTAACTAAAATTTTGAAATTTGAGGTTTTAATTTTATACACTTGGGAGGGTTAGCTTCCTTTATTGGACCAACTTATTACATATTTATGAAATTACAAGTCTCTTCTCAAAAACAAGATGAAATTAGAAGTTTGAAGATAAAATAATTAACTTAAACAATTGAACGATCGTGTCATGTGTTGATTAAGTTTTTAATTTTAATAATTAAAATTAAAATTTGGGTGTCAAATATAAAAAAAAATTAACTTAAACACATGTTATAATTAGAGATCCATTTTCTATTTAGCTAATCATATAAAGTTGTCTAAATCAACAAATTTTCAAGTTTTAGTTTTGAGATTAAGTATGTTTTAAGGAAGAATTATGGCACTAATGGTTAGAAGAATATCTTTGTTCCCACCCTTTGACAGAAGAAATCAAAATTCTATTTACCACCATGACAACTTAGCTTATTTGATCTGTTGAAATAATATTATCTTAATTAAAAATATTTGATTTTGATAAATATATTGAATAATGAATTTTTTTTTATAAATATATGTTGATGATGTTGAAATTCCTGAGCATTAGAATTAATGGAAGGAAGGTTAGAAGAAAAAAAAAAAACAAAAGATTGGGTTTCTGTTTTTACCTTGTGCTGTGTTTAAGGGCAAGGGCATGGCTGTTTCTAAGGTTTGATAGAGACAATCAACAACAGCAGCAGCAGCAGCAAAAATCTTTGTTCTTCTCTTTTGCTACTACTTCAGTTGAAGGATAAGATTTCACTAAAAATGGGAAAAAAGTGAAGAGTTTCTTCCATCACGGTTAAAAAGGGGAAGTCTCAAGCTTTGGGAATGTTATGCCATCCTTATCTTAAAATCCTAATGTTTGGCCTATATAAGTTCATGCAAGTGATTATGGTTTAAAACTTGAATACAAAAATACCCGAATTTGAATTCCTAGATCTTTTATTGATAAATGATTTATATATTTAAAAAATCTCAAAAGATCCGTAAATCTTATTGGTAGATTAAAAATTTGTTTTGACCTTGAGATGAGATTACCTTTTTTGCTTTAAAATTTTTTTCAACTAAAAAAAAATCCACATGTTTTGCAGATAATTTTGATTGAAATGAAATGGAAAAACATATGGAAAACCTCAGCCCATCACCCATCAACCATACCTAATTTTTCAGTAAGGGTTTGTTTACTTTAAAACCATTCCTATAATATGCATATTCATATGCATGCATAGTCCCTTGAATTGTGTGCTTTTGTTTACATTTTTCTAGCTTTATTCTTGATGCACCAATCCAAGTAGGTATTGGGTACCTGCCAGCTCCTCCCACCACGAGAAAAAAGGAGAAAAATCCAAAGCTGAAAGAAGACAGAAAGGGGAAAAGGAGGGTAAAGAACAAAACTGGGCAAAAGGCAGAATCCCATAACTTCAGATCTTCCTATGCTAACTTTAGTTAAAGATGACAGAGTAAGCCTTGGACTAGACTACAACATTTCTTTAATGGTAACTCTGATCAATCATTTACCAGCCAAATGAAGCAGCAACTTTCAAAATATATACTGTATACACGACTAAATCAAACAAGTAAATTATTATTAAGTTACCCTCTCTAAAGAATAATCCCTCACTAATTAGAAGGAGAAGAAGATATATATCCGATTGTCGGAGTGCTTAGGTTACATAAATTTCAACAGCCAGAGCAGAACTGACTTTATTATATGGACAGGGGAAAAGAAAAACTTTAGAGAGGTAAACCTAAGGTAGGTGAATATGTTACAATTATCTTAGGATCATGAGAAGATCTAATCTAACTTTTATGATACATAATAGGATACATGTTGTGGCAGGAGACAGCTTCACAATCCGACGGCAAGCTCGCTACCACAACCACTTTTTGTTGTGGAAGGGATTTACAACATTCTATAATTACCCTCATTGAGTCCTGCTTGTTAAATAACACCTGACAGTACATAAAATGCTGTAGAATATGCATCATTATGATTTTTCACAGCTACACTCAGGGCATTCAATCAGCTGGCTTATATGATAAGGTTATTTGATCTGGAACATACCAGGAAATAGCAAGTGCAAGTAGCATTTCAACATGAGTAGACCGGAATTCTTCAATCTGTTGAGAGCCATTAGCTGAATCAGGTGGCTCTAGGTCATGTATAAGTCATGCAACTGGGATAAGCAGGTTTGGGTATATGACAAAAGGAACTCAGGTTAAATTTGATGAAAGTCTGAATTATCGGGGATCTCAATAGCAGATAACCTAGTCAACACTCTTTGAGCCTCTCCAAGGTAGAGGAAGTTCAAGGATAATTAAGAAATAACATCTTTCTGACTCTCAGATATATTGGACCTTACCATTCATGAGCTTTAAGATTTTTTGGCACATGCTCAACCCTAAGCCCTCTTGTGTCATCCATCGACTGCTATGGAACATGTCTTGAACCAATTCAGGAGGAAGGCTTTCACTGGGGCATACCATCCTTCACAAATACACTATTGTTTGTGAAATTAGCACCACGACATAAATAGGATTCATGTCATCAATAATCTAAGAAAAAAAAACAAATGCTGCTCTTTCCCTTACATATTTGTACTTATTAACAAAATAAAAAATAAAAGCTATAAATAAGATTTTATGAAGTACATTGTCTCTTGACTTCTTCTAAAGGTTTGAACTTCATATAAATTTACACTTATTGGCAGAACCAAGTTTTCCCTAATAAATCATGTCTTTAGCTTTAATGTCATGATTGTAAAATATTGACTCCAATAAAATAATGTACTGTAGTTTCTCCTTTTTTTTGGTTATATTAGCATAACTGTTGACATTTATCTTGCACAATGCATAAAAAGAGTGAAAGCAAAATACCTAAATTCTGTATGAACAATAGTGAGTCCATCAGAAATTCGCTTCAAAGTTGGACAAACGTGAATCTCCACCCAACCTTCATCAGATGGTGCATAACATGCCATGTTCAACAAAAGGTCAGCCAATACCTGTTGAATTCTTGCCTGATCACCATAAACAGCCAGTGTTTTGATCTCCTCTGGAATATCCCGAATTAACTGCAGATTTCTTTCCCTCGGCGGTAGCATTACTTGGCTAACAACAGCATTTATGACACTCCCAAGATAAAATCCAGCCTTCTCAAGCTCCATAGAACTAATTCCAACAAAAGCAAGTTAAGAATTAGATCATGTCTTCCTAATTACTAAAATTATGCTGGAGGTATTTTGATAAAAATATTAATACATGCCTGATCTTGAATAAAGTAGAAATCACAAAAGACAAGTCAAAATAGAAATACAATTTTTGGTCCAAAGATTCAACAATGAAATCTTATGGTTTACCTTCAGTTCCCTAAAGCCATATTGACAGGAGAAAATACAGATACAAACTTAAATAGAGATTCATGTTTGATGCCTCACAATCAAGTGAAAAAAACCAATGTTTTCTCAATCCAACTTTCACAACTTTGCTGTAGTTTTCTTTCAAACCAAATGAAAAAAGTTATATATAAATATTTCCAAAATGAGATGTTGTGACAGCAACCTCAAAGATAAGGCACCTCCATATATAGCGATGGAGAAAGAGAAGCATGCATCGTACAACTATGATGAATACAGTATTAGAGGATAACTTTTTCGTGCATTTAAGGTTCTCATTCATCCATGAAAAGAATATTTCAAACATAGTTAGAGTCAAGGAAACTGTGATGCAGTATTTAGTATTCCACTCTCAACTCTCGAAGATAGATTCCAAAGAAATTGCATCCATAATCAAGAAATAAATATAACAGATGTAATTGTCATAGCTGAAATAGAGTTCAATAGTCTGGCATCAGATGTATGTTCCCTCAAAGTGCTAGAAATCAAACAATTGAGACCAACACAATTCCTGAAGTACATGAATGCAATCCAGAGAATTAAGTGTTTGGTTTTAGAAATAATTTGGTTAGGAAACCTACCCATCCTCAACCTCAATGCTCTCCATATCAACATCTCTTAGAATCTTCAACATTTGCTTCTTGCAAGCAGCACTAGTCTCCAGAAACTGCTTTTGATCTTCAGTCAGCTCTGTAGCTTCCAAAAGTGAGTGTGTAAAACGGATCCCACTCAAAGGACTCTTTATTTCCTGGCAAAGGTAGGTTAACTCTTTCATCCTATCAAAGCACTTCTTTTCCTGTTGCCTCTGGACTTGCAATCTGCAGGAAACAAAAGGCTCCTACAACCTGGCCTTCCATATTGACCCTTTTGTTTGCTGTCAAGAGCGCCTGCACAAATTTCCCATTGTGGTTAAAGAAGGCAAAAGGGAACTTATCTGCCTCCTGCCTCCAATGGCACTGTGTAAAATAATCATGAATTTTGTCAAAGCATCTGGACCCTTGAGGCGACAGCAATTGCCAAAAACCTCACCAACCAACATTTTCCCTATGATTTCCCATTGTTGCCACCCAGTGAGCTTTTCCATGGCAGTGTTCCAGTCCAACCAACATGTGTTTTCATCTGAAGCAAAAATCTGTGGGATCAAAGGATTGGGACTATGAACAATGGCCTTGTAATCACCTTGTATGTGGATGAATTTGTCCATCATTACCTTTTGACCAGTAACATCCTAACCAACAAAGCAAACTCCAACTATATTATTGGTATAATCCTCACTAGAGCAAGCGTTGACCACCACATATTAGCCTTTTATTATCTTCTAAGCCAAAAGTCCTCAATTTTATCTCTACATTTTTATCTTCTTCACCTGCATCAATTGAGGCAACATAAACACACCTTCAAAGCAAGCACTAAGCTATTTGGAAAATATCAATCATCACATTGAAGAATGGTGTTGGAAGAGGGAGTTTCTGTTCCCATGTAATGACACACATGGAAGTGATACCATTACCATGAACTCAATTCAGTGGTTATATTTTGTAGAATTTGAAATAACTTTCACTGTGCATGAAGGTACTA